TGTAGATGGCGCAGGGTTTGCAGAATAAAGCACGAGTTATTGATAAAATTACACAGAAAATGTACAATTTCACATCTTCATAGAAATGCATTGTTAAAAAGAACTTTGAAATGTCGATATACGGCGTTTATGATTTTTACCGATATTAAATTTCAGAAAAATTTCTCAAAAATATTTTATTTACGGCAACGTATTGAAAGTTTGCCGTTGTGATAGCTAGTGGATTTCATTTCAGACATCAACGAGTGCATCAGCAATCCCTGCCAGAATGGGGGAACTTGTGAGGACAAAATTGGACACTACAATTGTTCGTGCCCAGCCGGTTTTAATGGAACCAACTGCGAAATAGGTACACTGACGATTAAAAAATATATGCATGAACGTCTTGAAAGGTTGTGCTTGTGATCAAGCAGGTTTTTACAGGAAGTTAACGTCAAATATCATTGTGTAATATGGGTACATCTAATACTCAAATTGCCCTCTGTGAAAAACCTTGCCCATCACATTCCAGACATCAACGAATGTGCCAGCAATCCCTGTGAAAACGGGGGTACGTGTTTGGACAAACCCGGACACTACAACTGTTCGTGTCCAACTGGTTTTATAGGAGACATCTGTGAGACAGGTACGATGCCGATTTTTAAGAAGCGAATTGCTTTTCTTTAAAAAAAACAGCAAATAGGTTTTACAGACGGTGTGTTTTGGTTTTACACACATTCTTTTTACTCCAATGTGTGAACTTTTGCAAATCGCATTCCAGATATCAATGAATGTGCCAGCAATCCCTGTGAGAACGCGGGTACGTGTATGGACAGAGCTGGACACTACGATTGCTCGTGTCCAATTGGTTTTACAGGAGCCAACTGCGAGACAGGTACACTGACAATTCTTAAAGTCAGCCTGATTTATGTATCCAATGGTTCAACATGCGCTCAAACATGTTTTGTCACTGTAACAATCTAACTTGAAATGTGGTGGCAGGTTTACTCATGTATTATTATATTTTTTACAGACGTAGATGAATGCCTCAGTAACCCATGCGTAAACAGTGGCACGTGCAACAACTTGCTGAACGGTTTCAACTGCACATGTCCTGTTGGTTTCATTGGAGACATGTGCGAAACGGGTACGTACGTGTTGCACAATACAGATGTTCTGTATGGCATGTCTGTCATAGTGTAAAAATCGTCCGATTGTTAGGAAGTCTTAATAGATATATACACAGTGTGCTATAGGTGGCTGCTGACTTCTATTGTCCAAAAAAGTTATAAAGAACTTAGATTATATATCCTCATAATTCACTTTATGTGAGCTGGGAAATTCATTTGATAATTTGATCAAGTTCTATAACCACCGAGACACTGTTCTTTACTACTAAAAGAAGCGCCGTTTGATTTACATGGCTCATAATTTTAAATAACTGAGATTCCACAACTAAATCTGTATCATACAATGCATTTATCTATTGAAGACATTGATGAATGTGACGATAGCCCTTGTCAAAACAACGCAACTTGTGAAAATTTGGCGGGAAACTTCAGTTGCACGTGCTTGGAAGATTTCAATGGGACGAGATGCGAGAATGAGATGGGTAAGAATATCGAGCTTTAGGTAAATAAAATTATGTCAACACTCACACAGTTTGTCGGTAAATGCGCTTTACAATACCAAAGACATATTCAGTAAAACGGGGGACAGTAATTATTGTTAAGAGGCGCTTTAACGTACCGGTATTTCCGAGCCTTTACTACCGGTTTTGGCGGTTGTCAGTATGACACAGTAAACGTTTCATATTTATTTACCAATATTTTATTATATATCTAATGAATTGTTGAATATTTGTGTTGATTTTTTTTAAATATCCAACTGTTGCAGCAATTTTCAACAATCGAGCTTATTCAAATATTCCTTCTGGAAGCACTAGTATTACTGATTCTACTCCACCGCTAATAGGACTACTCGGAATCCTTGGGTTACTAGTGTTCGTACCTTGCTTTTGTTGTATATTTTTTCTGTGGAAGCGTAACAAAAGGAAAAGGTATTTATTTTTGTGCTTTGAATATTTTAACCATTACTTTGATTTGAGACATTTTTATATAAAGTTGAAAGTTCTAAATAGTGATTAATGCTCTTTCCATGTATACATTGTCTGTTATTATTCAAGTAATCAATTCTTTTAAAATACCTGATATTTTTATTATTTTAAGGGTGTTCGCTTCATTTCATATGTTATCAATTAGAATAGTACTATTGTAATTTACGATTATTAAAATAGAATGTGCATTTTCATAGAAAGGTGAGGCCACTTGACGAGCATCAGGAGGAGCAGAAAAACCCGGGAGAGAAGTACAAAGTCTCTGAAGAGGATGAAACAAGCACAATAGACACAGTCGCTGCGGAAAATGAAGACAGCGCGGCAGACGACACTAAAAACATAGGTGCTGCGTCCATTAAGTCAGATGAGCTTCTTCTTCGCGCCTGAAAGTCAATGACGTCGTCAGAGTTATTTCAGCATCTTTTTCTTACTCCTGATTGTAAAGCAAACCCCATAGCTGACAGCTAATCCTCCTTCGTCCAGGACTGTGCTGAATGGTGAAATCGTTAGTTTGGAATTCGTTACCATTTATGAATTAAATGCATCTGATAACAGATTGCGTTGTCGTTCAAATAACGCTATGTGACGAGGCATACCCAAGCGCCACGCCACAATGCTTCCAGCATCGCTAACACATTTCGGAAATGCGTACTTTTTATCAATGTTGTTCAACTAGGTTTTGAGTATACCTTTATTTTCAAATATCGCACATGACACGAGAAAACTCAATTATACTTAAAAGGATAAAATGGTGCTACAGTTTAATATATCAACAAATAATTTGTCACTGTAGCACAATAAGCTTGCTGCATACACGAACTACTGCCAACTGCAACACTCAGAAAATGCTTGCTCGTAAAAGAATCTACAGCTTTAAAACCTCACGCCACACAGGTGTGTTCGCTTGTGTTAATATGTATGTTAAAAGCAAAAATGTTGAATGGCCTTTTGCCTTTTTTTTTAACCGCGGTTGAGAGGTGCAATCGCCCTCCCACCAAAATTATTCTTAATTTATTTCTTTTTTTACCATTTAGATTTTTAAAACCTTTCAGTAATATAACTTTTGCTACTTTAGTGTATAGACATGGCACAATTTCCTTAATTTTCCGTTGTTTTTAGTCGGTGTCAGCACTTGTCAGATGCCGGATGACCGCATGTCGCCTGAGCTTAGGATTAAAACGCTATATATAAGTGTACACACATGTAATTAGCCGTAGTGATAGGAGTATGTACAAGCCCTTGCAATGGTCTTTTAGCTGACCAGAAAATGAGCAACCTGTAACATTTGCTTAATATTCCATGCAGGAGTTTTAGTAATTCGAACGACACTGGTGTGTTTGTTCTCTTTTTATTCAGAAAGCATGAAGGGAATAATTAATAAACAGAATAATGTAGGGAGTGTCTGTGTGCTATTTTTATCTGCAGGAAAAATGCGTATTTACATTAAAAAAACATTTATATCCAGGGAGAGTCCCCTTCCAACCCAACAACACGCTCCGGGAGCAGAATGATGGATATATCCCCCCTCGCTCAGACCTATCCCAAGAAAAAATGAACGACACCCCCATCCCCATGGAACCGCTGTTCACTGGCTTGCATGATGCCCTTCCTTGAAGGTACTTGCCTCGTCTGAAACCTACCCAGACAGCTTATTAGTTTTAATGAAACGGTTAGAGTGGGTTGGCCTCCACGTTAGGGTCAATGGCTACGGGCCTGTATTGCAATGTGTTAGTTGAGATTAATATACGATGCAGGTTACATTACTCAGCTGTAGCAACTTCTACTTGGCTCTTAGGCTTCGTTCACATGCAATGTCTATTTTCTATTTTCTATTTTCGGTATGTCTTATGATCACGGTATGTGCACTGAATATCCCGCCGCGTAATTACTGGCAGCGCGAGCCAGTTACTTATAGTAACTTATAGTAACTGGCTTGCGCTGCCAGTAATTACGCCGCGGGATATTCAGTGCACAGACCGTGATCATAAGACATACCGAAAATAGAAAATAGAAAATAGACATTGCATGTGAACGAAGCCTTAGTTTTACAATAGAATTTTTCGTGAAGTTTATCTAGAATTTCATTGTATAAAATATTACATAGTGAAGCGGCGTGTTTAAAATCTCAAACCCCTTATTCCTTTTCATTTTTATTGTTAAAAATTTTAATACTTTTAATACAGAATTAAAAAAATTATCCACATCGATAAACATATTTTGTGTTTAGTTAAAGACTTAATTCAACGATGTTTTTTTCCTGTCTTTTTTATCCCTAATTTCTCTAATTATAGACTGAAGGGTGTCGTTAACACTTTTTCACATTAGATGTCTTCTGCTCTAAAATTCCGCTCAAACTGGAAGTGACAATAAAGGTACAGCATGAAACCGTAAAATTGGCCTGGTTGTCATAAAAGGTTCTTAAATATAAATTGAGGTATTGCAGGGCAATAATAGGATATTGGTCAGCAACAAGGGGAAATTGTCGGCAACACCAAAAAAAATGTTAGAATGACTTTTTTTACCGCACATCCCTCAAGCTGTCGAATCTTATAAAATACAAAATACCTGTAAGCAAACATTAAAAGATAAATCGACTATCTAAAGAAAATAAAAGGCACTTGCATACGTAATCACCCCGAAAGCTTGCCCGAGCTTTGATTTAAAACACTGTATGAGGTATTCCTTTAGCCGGGCCTTGGTCGCGGCTTTCGATATTTATTCTTTCATATCAAAATCCAATAACACATAGTTCATCCATTAAAACACTGTGTCTGTACGAGTCTTCAGGATTTATTTTTTAATTAGGTGGTCTCGACCGTACAGTAGTTCATTTGACCGCTTGCCAAAACCAGCTTTCCAGCGTCAACTCGATCTTCAATGTTCTTTACGAGAAATTAAAGGTAAATGTTTCAATGCTGCATGTTTATGCCATACGATACAAATAGATTACAAAACTGGCTTTATTTTCATGAAAAATTCCCCTTCTCCCCATCCTTCGTTTTTGTAAGATGTATATTATAATTTAGGCTAATTTTCCGCGAGACCGTCTTGCCTCCATGTTTACGTTTACACGCGCCTCTATTTGCATCTTGTGTACAATTCATTATTATTTCACGTGCAGCCTACACGGTGGGTGAAGTTAATGTTGCATGGGTGTCACCGTAACAGATCCCCGAAATAAGAAGATTGGGTCTTCATTAGACAGATAACGCTACCAGCGAGCCATTAAGAAAGTCATAATCCCGGAAATGCTAGTAACGGTATAGACAAGCGGAGCCTAGTGTAATTAATTCTCCTACTTAACTATGTCTGTGTATACATACAGTAACCTATCCCGGTTTGTTAGAGGTTCGAATCCTTTGACTAAAGGTAAGATCTGAGGATACATTTGATGGGAGAAATAAATAAACGATTATTCAATGAGTCGACGGCCCACTTAATGTGGTTCGTCTGAGGCGGCAGGAGGGGCGGGCATTAAGAAGTAATCGAATTAGTGTCAATTTCAGCCTGCGCGTTGGGGGTCTTATTTCCAGTGAGTCGACTTCGTGTCACAACGTATTCGGTACAACTGACAGCCAAATCTTCCTGTGGCTGATACGTCTTCATCTAGGGTTACAAATTTGGAGACGGTAGTTCTGGTTGCCTTGGTAACGCTATCAAGTATCCACTGGCGTGTGTCCATCTTTCAGTCGCGATAATACGCGCTTAACTCCACGATTGAACGCTCGATAAGAGAGTCGCGGGTATAGTTAACTCGTGAGCCTCGGAGGCGACACTAGAATTATGAGTCAACCAAACAATTTATTCAAGCGAGAAATAAACTTTGGTCTCTAAAGTAAATTTTACAATTACGATCCATAAACATATCTGAAGTTGACTTCCTTTTTCCCAAAATTCTGTAGTCCTCCCGCATGTGTTGGGCCAACGTTTATCACAATTCAAGCGTGCACGTAACCTATGTGTTTGACATCCATTGCGCTGTCAATCAAAATCCAGCCCTCTGATTGGTCGACGTCCCTGGCGCTGCTCACACACCGTCAGAGATAAATATATGGATATTCCTCGACATCTACATGTATCATTATTTAGCAGATCAGCACAAGGGTGTCGCTAGCCCCTAAGATACTGGACACAATTAGCACAAGATGAGTTTGGTAAGTGGGTATCCTCAAAATTTCCACCCAGGCCCTATGCCGGAAATGTACCCGTACCACCAGGCCGCCTACCCCGAGCGACCCGACCCCGGTCCCGCGTACTTTCAGCACTGGATGTTCACCAACGGCGCTGGGGAGATGCAGCCGATGTCGCCGGACCAATACTGCGGACAAATCACAGAATTCCAGGGACTCGGTCCCATGCAATCGTTTGCTCAGTTTAACCCAGAGACTCGCGTTCGAGTAGTTAAGAGACGGGTGTCCGCCAACAAGAAGGAAAGACGCCGTACTCTGAGTATTAACACTGCCTTCGCTGACCTGAGGGGGTGTATACCCAACGTCCCCTCAGATACAAAACTGTCAAAAATCAAAACTCTAAGGCTGGCCACTAGTTATATTGCCTATTTAATGGACATTTTGGCCAAAGATGACCCTAACTTAACGGAGGGTGGATTCAAGGCGGAGATTACTAAGAAATTAGAGAGCAAAGAAGACAGGAGGAAAAGGGAACTGGTAAATATGATCCTTGAATATTTCACATTTACACTGTTATATCTTAGTAACTTTATATATATTGTAAATTTCAATGGCAATTCCCAATATAAGTAGTCCATTCTGTTTTCAAATTTATAAGCAAACTTTAAGAGTGAAGGAGTTGGAAAACATGTTTGCTCCAAAAGTGGGTTAAAATTAAGACATACTTTTTAGTCACTCTTGACCTGAATATAAATTAAAACAAATTCTGTCAGTTTTTGTCAGTACCGTGTGTTTTTAGAAAGACGGCTTTAATTTTAATCTTGACTCATTAATTTGTATACTTTCATTCTTTAATCCAAATTTGTGGATATATGCTTATTATAAATTTAGACATGAATGCTGTAAAAATGAAACTCGAAAAGGACTCAACAAAACACAATAAAAACCTAATGCTTAAAATGAAGCGAGCTGTAAATTTCACTTTCAACTAATATTTTTAAATTAATAATTTCTTTTGTATGGATTTATTTAAATATATATTAGTATTTATTCGCCTTTTTATTAATTTTGTCTTTTGAACAAATTTATGGACATTCCCCACCTCGATTAATTCATTCAAAAACTTATAAACTTGCGAGTATTAGTTATATTTGCAAAGATATAAAAACATTGATAAGCAATTATAATAATAATAATAATAATAATAAATTTTATCAGTTCCTTAAAAGATACAGCAAATTATATAATTCTGTAATGATTAAGAAACTAAACGTGATTTTCTATAGAAATATTGTATTAACACTTTAAAGTGTATGAGAACTGCAGGTTTTCATTAAACAAGTTTTCAATTAAACTATGTAAAAACAGTAAACTTTTATATTTGTTCATATTTTCCATATATAATATAGTTTATTAAGTGTGTATTAATAAAGATCAAATATCAAAATGTAATGTAATTCTCGTGGTAATGCCGCTGTATTATAACCAAGTGCAACCAGATGGACAGAATTTTCCCCGATCAATTTATTTTCTCACTACTGGTCACCCACCTGGAGCAGGAGAGGGATCAAAACAAGTCAACTATTTGTACATGTTTCCCATTCTTGAAGATATGTATTTGTCAGCACAGAAGCCTCTGAATATAGACACTGGTCTAGTAAATATTGCGGCATGTTTAAACTCCAGACATCCTGATACATAGAGAGACAGCTGAAGTAAGCCCCTTGTGTGAAAGCTCGTAAAATCTCACGAAATGACCGTCTGCCGTGCACTAGAATTAATCACCAAGGACTCGAAAATATCTTCCTTTTTTCACTCTAACCAAAGCAAGATATTCTGGTTAATAAACCCAATGAATTAAACCCTCAGGTTGTATAAAACGCAATATTTTGTGCAGTGTGGAATTCGAAAAGTGGCTAAGTGTCAGCTGAGCGAAATCCCAATCAGTCCCCGCTGACGACCGCTGGTATAGTGGAGAGTAAGAGACAACGCTAAACGTCCTTCGTGTGACGGTGACGCAGGTCGCCCGGCGGGTAGACCGGAGACCCTCACAGGCTATCGTTCAGCGGGGTGAAGGTATTCTACATGTACCAAACAAGTGCGTCTTCTTGTCAATCAGCGCGTGCCTCGGCGTTCCTGTCGCCATCGCATGCTCTCAAGTACGTCGAGGTGCGTTTCATATTAGGTTAGAGCACACTCGGTTACAGATCGAGACTTAAGTCCAACCTTTGCCGTTCATTAACCCTAGTATTAATCTATGATATATGAGTAGACATGATATAAAATGTGTTTGGGTATAATGTACATGTATTTCCTAATAAGTTAATTTATTGTTAACAAAAATGACATTTTTAGTACTGAAACGAAATGACCCGAAGAAATACCTACACAAAAGGTTTTGACTTATTATTTGTAATATAAGTATTGCTGTAAATTCAGAAAAAAAGACAGTCGATGGGATAAAGTGCATACTGTAATACATAAATTACGCAAGACACAAACTTATGAAAATCAAATTGCAAAGAATCACAAAAAAACCCGCTTATAAGATTTTTATGCATTTGGGCAAAGCGTTGTGTTATTTTGTGATTGTGAACCGAAACCGTACAGCAATGTCCCAAATCCATTTACCGTTTGGCTGATTGTTGTGTAGATGGTCATAGAGAGGACTGGTCACTGAACTTACTGACCAGCTATCATACATAGCGTGCCCAAAGCACGCACCATGCACAATTTGTCATCGATAGAAAATAAATGACCAGTGACAAGGCAAACAATAACAGTAGTTTAAACTTGCATTTGGTTTCAACCATTATGGCATTTTTTTACGGCGACGCGTGCGAAAGTGGATTGAAATACCTCTAAGAAGAGATTAAATCCCCCTGTGGTACGACCTTGGAAATTATTTTTTTAAAAACATCGTATCGAAACATAGATATTAACTTACAAAAACCTACAGTTTTTTATCTGACTTCATGATTCCAGGGAAATATTTCCCTGAAATAATTTCTAGATTTTTTTAATGTTCAAAATAATATTTACCTTTTGCAGTACATTTTTATAAAAGGGAAATTAAAAAAATGAAAATAGTTAACTGTTGTATGCGAGATATCTATAGGCCTAGGCTATATTTGAAATCTCACAGAACAGTACTGTGTAATCAGAAATTTTCACATATATCAATTAAGTAATTTCCCCGCTCTTCTTATCTGTACATAGTGACCACCAACAAAAGAATACAAAACTAACATTTTTGACACCTGTCCACTGAAATGTGAACAATCGCTAACTATGCAGAAAATTGCAATCGGAAGAATCTTCCGCGATTACAAATTAACACATGAGATAATATGGCAATCCTCGATGTTGTGAGATTGCAAATTAAGCGGAATAATGTCCATTGAAAAACTCCCGCACACAATCTGTTATCTCTGCGTTTTGATAACACAGTGGCAGGTAAGCTCACGTTATTATCGCGCAGTCCGACTTGAAAACCCCCAACTAGGGGCCGCCCCGAGCTTTATGATATAGAAACCTAATAAGCAGAGGCATTGAAAAAAGGGGAAGCTCATTAGAGTGACTCCGCCTAGCGCTGCCGGTCACTCAACGGACTATCATTAAAACTGGCGAATATGTGAATCTTCCGCATTTTCTTCTGAAATTGAATTAAAATAGCAAAGTTCTGAATCAACTTCAAAAACAGAAATGGGTTAAAATGCAGAGATTAATTCGATTTTCAAAATGAGTTTGATATTGATAATCTTTATTTTTATAATGTATTGTTTAAATGAACATACGAATGTAGAATTTATAACTTCAGGAGAAAAACTAAGTAGGCATTTTCTAAAAACAGTCTAATTCATACTTTAATCGAAATAAAGTATTGGTGACATTGTAACAATCTTCAATGAAAGTAATTGACTTTAATTACAAAATGCTTCAACAAAACAGAAAACAACGGTGCTAAACATTTTTAAACTTGGGATGCTTTTTTTTTTATTAAATCATCATTTTAAATGCTATTTGCTTGTATCTTCTGCATCTGCTGTTTGTTAATTGGATTTTCAAAAACGCACCACTTATTTCACCCCTAAGGCGAGATTGGTAGGGAGAAATTGAAGCAAATATTTCCCAATCAACCTCAGTGCTTGGCTCTTATTTGCCTTTTTTAATGTAATTCGTAATTGATAAAGAAACTGTATGAATCCAAGATTCGTTATCGCTATTGTTCTTCCTTGACAGCTCGACTTGACTGATAAGCTCGATGTCAAAGTTTTCCCGTTCAATTTTCATTAGGAGGCAAAATCCTCTGTTAAATGGTATTAATTGTCTAGTTCATGATAATGAATGCGCGGTTAATGTTTTAATGGGGTTTCTCTGTAGCCAGAGAGGTTAGAGGAGAGGAAAGGTTTGGCTGGCGTCTTCAGACGAACAGATGCAACCAGGGGTCTAGTGGTCTGTTTGTTTATTGCTCTGACGCAACAGCAGATGTTTGCGGTATCAGACAGTTTTTAAAAATCATGACAAGACTTCCAATAATGTTTTCCGCAGATGTGCATTATTTTAAAGTATAATTGACCACTGTATAGTTGCTTAAACATGGATACTGAACGACTTTGAACATTTTTTCAAAAAGGTACGAAAATTGAACCCGGCAGATGGTGATCTCTTTTAAGAAGATCACGGCGTTGACAGCACTTTTCTGCGCGCGGGAAACTTTAGTTCATGTAATCATTCCTGGATATGCTTGTGTTATTTTGTTATAAACTGGTGTCAATTCGTCGATGACTGCCACAGTTTATTACGTGGGTTTGTTGGGTTTTTAACGATACGGATGTTCATTTCGGGGCGTCTGTTTACCTCCGCCCCTCGAGTTTAGTACGTAAGTTATCTTGTTTGCGTTTAACATTCTGGGTGCATTCTCTTTCTCTCTCTCACTCTGTAGTCATGAAACGCACGCGTTATCAGTTCTTTACTTCTTAAGTGTCAAATATTGTGATACTGAAATCATGCCGTCTTAAGAAATGGTTTCGTTCCCATCTGTTTCTTTTTCTAAACACAACCCGGATAGACTCAAGAATGTCTTGTCAAATGTACATGTACATTTTTAAACACAATAAGTGCTGGTGGTGAGGCTGTCTTGCCGTCATATCTGACACTGACAAGAATATGATAAAATGCTAAATTCTGAAAGATTTATCAATTTATCTATATAAGCATTTATTTTCTGTTTGCCACAAACAAGTTCTTCTACTTTTTTAGGTAATTAGTACAGATTGAGGAACCAAATCAAGAAAAAATTATATAAGTTTTTTTCACACACATACACACAAAAAAAATGCGAATTTGAAGAAGAAAGTTTTGGTAAAGTTTAGAGTAGGCGATTTGCTGTCCGGCATATTAGCACTTTAGTCAATTATCATTCTTATTTCTACCAAATGTAGATAATTGTGCGGTTGATTACACCACGGATGAGAATGAAGCCCGCTAATCATTTCAACACTGTCCTACGGCAAACCAGCTAAAGCAATTTAATATCAATTTGTAGGTACAAATTCGGAGTAATTAGTTTAATTCCCATTTCTATTATCAGAGCTAATAACAGGCCTATGCTAAAGAGCGAGACACAATTTTCAAGGGGATGGATGAAATAGCTCCCATGGGATCTAATATTGATGTTTTTTAATTATGTCGTAAACATGTGCGGGAAGATTATTAAATTACTTAGGCTACGATAATATTTTCATTTACATTCTTCGTAATTATATCGACATTTACTCCACTTATATGCGAATAATAGTCCATTACCAACTGATATTTTTCAAGATTGTTGTGAAACTTTGAAACCTTTATGGCTTTTCAATCATCTTTGTCAGTCTATAGAAAATTAAACACGCGGATCATCTTCGTTAGACGGAGACAAAATCAAGATCTTCAGTCAATCCTACCCTGCTTAAGTTAAAGTGGCTTTCTCGATGCGAGATATAACATTTTACATCTCAAAATATCGTCACTGATTCACTTACGGGTTGTTTAAAAGTGAGAGTTTAATATGAAAGAAAAAACTTCTTTGGCTTGTGCTCTAAATTCACTTTGCCTTTAAATGTCGGGTTTGATTGAGAGAACGGCGAGCCTAATGGAGACTTGTTTAAGTGCTAGTAGACTCGAAAGTATTGCTTTATCTTAAGATGTATCTCTGGTATAAATACATTAGGGCCACTCGATCGGCACTTCCAGAATTGAGGTTTCGTGGCAGGAATATTACATTTTGAACGAGAAGCTTGATTCAGGTCGCAGAAAACGGTTGTTCGTACATTAATAAAAAATATTTCAGGAAAATACTCAAATTTATAATGAACTTTGAATTAACACGATAAATTATTGTGATGTTGTTATTATTATTTTGCGTTGTCCATGCATAAAGCCCTTGTTTACCTCTTCAGTGGCGTTCAATCGCCCGTTACCATTGTGGATTTTTTAATTTGCAATTAAAAAACACTTAATTCACATATAATAATATGTAATATTGAGGTCAAACTAATCGTTCTCTCTTTTTTACTAGGCGGAACTTAATAACACGTTGAGCGGAGGAGACACGAAGAAAGGGAAGGGCAGAACGGGTTGGCCTCAACATGTTTGGGCTCAGGAGTTAAAACAAGCGGAGTGACCGCAGCAAAACCGTGGGAAATCCAGCGAAATCTTACGTCAAATTACGCAAATGGTTTTCACAGAAAATAGACCTGCTTCTGTCACTAAGAAATTACAAAGAAACAAGAGAAACTCTACTCTCGGCGTACTACAGATTTTCAGCCCAGAACGTTCGAGAACTTTTGAAGTGATTATCAATCCCCACCTCCAAGTAACGTAAACGCACGAGTCTCGTCTCCATGACAACCTGTAGTAACGCTTGGGGTTTCTCAGTTTCAAGAGGAGTGAAGAGAGAGAGGAAAAAACTATATTCCATTAGAAACCTGAATATCTGCACGCTGTACCATGAAGACTACGTGCCAAGGGAGAACGTTCAGGTCAGCCTTTGTGAAAACACAGTATTATTGCTATTGACAGGATTCTCCTGTTAGCAATCCTCGGGGAGTTTATTTGTGCCAAGAATTTCTGTAAATCAAATCTCAAAAAAAGATGTGATAAAGTGTGAGTGTAATACTGTTTTATTTATTCATGAAACGTGAGGTTGAAAGTCAAGTCACACTGTTCGTGTTTAACTTTCTGACTTATTATAAATAGAATTATTTTATTTATATTAATATGAAAATATGCATATCTATGTGCCCATGATTTATGATAGTATTATATTGAATATGTTTATGTGTAGATAAATAGATACATTTAGGTATATGTAATTGATTATTATTATTATAAGATATATAAGTGAAAACAGTTCACATGTCGCACAAACTTAGAGACGACATTTTGACAATATCTTTAATAAGCCTACATGTATATCGCTCAAAAGTTTTAAAAAAAGCTTAGCATAGCGTCTGTCTCGTAAGTATTTAAGCAAGAGATTTGAGTTTTTTCTGCGGAAAAGTTCTTAAGCAGGGTCGTGATCGAGTTAATTGATGGGGCAGGCCTTTTCATAACGCGTGACTTCGAGGTCGACTCCAAAACTGATCATCCAGATTTGGGGATGTAATTCGCTGACGATATCCACGTCGCGTCCTCGTCTTAGACATTGCAGCCAGGAATCGGTATAACTCCCATTACCATGAAAGTCAAGAGTTGAACTCAGTGTCGGGGATCCAGAACAGGGATAGCGAATGATCGCAAAAATGGTGCATTTTAATTTGATCAGAGCCCTAATCGGCAGTACACAAATTAAGTCATCCAAAAGGTCAAGGTATTCTTAACCTGGTGTCCGCTTTGGAGGGGCTTAATCATTGGCTTTTTTTCCTTCTTTCTATAATTAGTCACTCTGTTGGACAGTGTTCAAGTAGCAAGAAAAACTTATAAATCAATTGTGGTCTGACCATGTGATATAACAGCGTAGTTTTGTTGAGAAAAGATCGAAAAATCTCACGAAAAAAAGCCAACTGGTATTTATTTTTTAAGACCCTTAATTGTTATTATCGAAAATGTTCAGAATATTTTCTGCTCAAAAAGAAAATGATCACAGCTATGAAAATAACTCATTGGTAGTAACTTATAATGTTACTTTAAGATGGTAAAGGGTGTTTTTTAGCATAGGTACAGTTGATTGCTGAAAGTATCTGTTGTAAAACGAATATCTGTGACTGCATGTCATAATTTTTTTTTTAATTTTGAGTTTTTTAAATTTGCCAACTTTCCTAGCGCGTTCAGATTTAAGCATTTTCAAGTGTATATATTATGAAGAAAACATTTTTCAGGTTTGAACTTAAAAAATTTTGTTATCAAGATCTGTAATTAAATCCAAATCTTATTAAGGTCAGTGTCTTTATTCTTCAATTTCGTCGGTAAGTGAGTAAGTAGTCTGCGAGAAGAGGGTCTTTGTATGTAGGGAATGTCAACAATTTGCCGTTAAATCGGTGCAGGATCCATCGACGGCTTCTCCACGTCACCGATGAAATACGCTCGGCGACGCTGAGGGAGCGGTAGCCGCTCTCGCCCAGACTCTTAGATCATCCGCACTATTGTTTACTCCTTGCATGTAAACGTACACCGTAATCGTATAGGAAAGTGATAAATCTTCCTCATGTCAATGGACTTATTTATTAAGTCGACTCCGGTGAAGATCACGTCATTGCCAGTGTGTGTATAGCCAATGGGTTAATTATTATAAGGATTGAAGACGAGGTAAACATTGTAGCTGGTGTTTGTTCAGTATGTTCATTGTGAACTGATGCACGCCTATCGCAACATCTAAATACTTGTAAATACAGAGGTCGTGGACATTTGTATATTTATATATCTATCTGTGTGTTGTTATACAGGTCTCTATGTGTCACTTTTAATTAAGGGACTGAATAACACGTAGACAAGAGAGGTTAGATATCGAGATATCTTGGTGCTGTTTTAAATCAAATTCTTCAATAATTTTAAAGAGTGGTGCTAATTTGCGGATTACACGTGGTTACCTATGACCAATGAATAAAACAGTGTTTTCCATGTTAGAAAATGTATTTGTTGTATTCCATTGCGCTTTTCGAGGGGTTTTCCGTGCTCCTATCTGAAAGAAAAAAATACAGGAAACGTGTATAAAAATTTAACTTAAACTTCTATCGTTATTATGATGGAAATATTATTTCTTTTACGTAGTAGTCGTAGCATGAAATGAAATTAATCGGAAAACCTAATCGTTGTCGCGACTTTGTGTTCTGTGACATGAATGAAAAGAAAATGAAAATTGTCAAAATTACAGAGGAAATTCCAAACAAAAAAGATCCAATTATCAAACCGGCGACACACAAGAAAGACGGTCTCGTGTGGCCATAGAAAAGAACGAAGAAGATAATTCAAGCGACCGGTGTAGTACTTATTTCAAATTTATTGAGGGACTCATTGAATCGACGTAGCATGTAAATTACAAGTTTACAAATCTAATTACTAGAAGCAGGCACGTGGTACTGAAATCAATATGCTTATGTTGGAGCAATTCCCCGATCAATACAAGGAAAGACCGTTTAAAATGTTTTAGTGAAAGCAAAAGAGAATTTTCTATTTTCGTCCACCTGTTCTAAAGAAGGTTTTTATAAAATAAATTAAGTAGCTTTGATTTCCATTTGTTGATTCCGCTAGATTAAAAATTGATTGCTTATACTAAATATCAGAAAAAGAATGACAGCATATAAGAAGTAGATGCCTTATTCTGTATCACGTGTGATTTATATTTTAAAGTAGTAGCATATTGCTACCGAGAAAGAACGTCTTAATAGTACGGAAATTTTAAAAATGACTAAAATATTTAAACCAGATAACTTTAACCCAAATTAATGATAACTTCAAGTCTTTTATCCCCATGGTGTGGACGCTCACCTTGTATTGGTAGCTGTCTCTACAATCTAACCTCTAAAACATTGGTAACTAATATATGGGTCTAGAAAATCGTTTTCGACAGGCTGAGGGGTTTGAGCAGCAAGTGATACAGAGACTAAAATAACTAGGATTGAGGAAAAAAATCAACTGTTAGTGTATGCTGTCAGTGTTCAGACGCGGTGGCGTTACTCCGCGATAAACAAGTTCCGATTAGAAAGTGGGAGGGAGACGCGATTGATTATTTAATTGCTACCGTGGTGGAAATGGTCAGAAAAAAATACTTCATTGATAAGAACGGAAAGCTAGAAATAACAAACGAGTTCAATGTATTATTGCATGGTTGCATCTTTTCTGGTTATGACAAAATTATCTGATTGTATTTATTTTTCGCACTAGTATTTCAATTATATTAATTAGCATTACTATTTCAATACGCTCCAGTATTTCAATTTAATAATGGCAAAGATTAAAAAGAAAAGAAGAGGATCATTAGGCTCTGCGTCATAGCAATTACATGTATAAGCATCGGTGACTTGATATTTTTGTGTATATGCTGTATATGGGTGCGGGGTATGCTGCATTGGGTATCAGTGAGGCATATGAGTGACATGAGCCATATAGGTATATAAAAAATCCAACAGTAACGTATGGGTCAAGTAATAACTGTATAGTAGGCCTATGTCTTGAACAAAAATGTCATCAATGCAATTTTAAGGTTGAGTCTCACCGCCATGAATATGCGGTCATGAAATACTGCAAGTGACTAAGAAGAAGTCTTTTCTTTTTTTAATAAAAGACAGGGCGTCATGTCAGTACAAGAGGGTATGTCTTCTGCCGGTGCTCTGACAGCTCTCGAAGGCCGAGCCCACATGAGCAGGCGTTCCAAACCGTCTCCCGTTACGTCCTGCCGCCCCATTCTGTGTCTAGTTTGTTTTAACCAATTAGCCCTGCATTTAGGGGTCACTCTTTCAAAATGTTCTCAAATTTTATCAAAAAACATGCGCAAAAAAAGGTTCTATGCCCTGAGTTTGTAGTTGTCTCAATTTCTTTCTTGGTTGGAGTTTAGTTTTAAAATTAACCTGTCTGTCCAGTTTAACTCTATTACTTATCTTTATATCGTGATTATTCGGTAGCGTTTTTTTCTTGTGAGTCAATTTATTTGACTGACGCGCTCCAGTGCAAGCTGCTGCAACGTGCTGCATTTTGACCTCTAAAACGTGCTTGCATGTTACGAATCTCTCTCTCTCTCTCTCTCTCTCTCCTCCCCCCCCCTCCCCCCCTCTCTAAATATGAGGCGTACTTTGATAATAGGATGGGGATATAGACTATATATGGCTATTACTACTTTAAGTGTTTCTTCACAAGTTGCCCATTTTTATTAAAAAGGTAGCTTAACTTGAGAAATAAACACCCCACCTGGTAACCCAAGAGCACACGGCAAAAGACCGTAGGGTGCCACGCCGGTAGCGTGGAAACGTGTTGTTGTTTTAATATGAAGAGAGTTTGGTAAACATGAACTTAGGCGGTATAAACATTTGTCTCCTGAAGACAGGCCACTCTTTTATCAGCTGACATTCCGTCATGAAGTGTAACATACCCTCATCAATCATTTCCCGAACGCAAATGTAAACATCGTGGTCACACTTTCTTTATAATAATGAACACTTGAAAAGGTACCGGGCAGATCTAGAGCGCGTTATTTTCATTTTTGCGTTTATTATTTTGAGAGCCACTGAAAACATTTCGTTGTAGTGGGGGAAAATGTGTTTATTCTGTGATTGAAAAAAATAGTGGAAAGGGAAATTTGCACAAATAAGACGCTGTTCTTTGAGAAAAGTGCACTTGGTGTACGTAGATTATTAAGCGAAATCGCACCTGGAAGCTATCGCTTTTTTATTAGAAAATTCACGTCATGACCGCGGTTTACAAAACAGAAACAATGAAACGAATCAACTTTTTATATACGTTAAAAGTGCTTGAACACTAAACTTCGGTGCCTTCTCCAGGTTTACGAGTATTTTAGACATCGAAAATGTGCAAACAACAGAAAAGAATCTTAAAAACATTCCGTCGTTGATGAAAACGTGCATTGTTCTTCGGAACACAATCTCATCGTTAATTTTTATGAAAAATTTCGTAAATGTACTAAGGCTGTATCACATCTTATACACGGATTAAGTTACTTTTAAAGTGATCTAGATCTAAGACTTAGAAAAAAATGAACGAATGACTTTTTAGCAGAATAAAAAAAAAACGCTTGGGTGTAGTCAATTCATGCCTTAATAATGTCAGAAGAAGCGCGTTTCGATCGATGATGTAGGTAAATAGCAAGAGTATGTTAAAAAGATTACCTCTTGGAGTATCGCACTTTGCTAGAGTTAATGGTGGCCCTTTGAACAAGGGACTTCTCGCGTAACTTCAGTCACTTACGCCTGAGTAAGAGCGTTTTAATGTATCCAAGCACACATCAAACTCATGCATCAAAATAAATCGCTACTTTAACTTGTCTCATGGAGTTAAAAAGCCGTCGGTAATTTTTATAACGACGAAGAGGTTTTTGATCTTGCAAGCTGAAATTCCGAGACAAAAATTCGTTTTGTCATTGAAAGCCTCGTGTAGCAGACAGAAGCTTCTTTTGAGTCTTTTTTATGAATGATGTTTAGGTTTCAACCATTTACTTTTTTATCAAATATTTCATGATCTTGATACCCTACTAAAATATAAAAAGGGGATATAATGAACTGTATGCCATCCAGTTTCAAAATAATGAAAATATAATACGTAGGAAAAGGAATTCTTTAAAAGAACTTCTTTACAATCAGAACAAAATGTCAACCTTAACGTGTAAACGAAAAATAATCCTTTTGTGCGGGCAACACAATTCTACCACAGTAGCACTAACTGGACGTGCATTTTAGAGTTCTACGATGATCCAAGCGCAACAAAGGACAACTCCCCTTGCTTCTTCACCTCAGGACATAAGCTTAAAGTTACCTTATAATATCAAAACACGAACTTGCACTTATTGACCCTGCCCTGAAGGCAGAACCCCCGGACCACTCATCTCCATACAACGGGATCGAGGGGGCCGAGATGAATAAAATGCCGCCTTTGGCGCTGGTCATCTCCATATCTCAAGGGATCTAGCAGTCACGCCATGGCTAACTGGCGACACGGGGTCCACTCACGTAGTCACGACACTGTTTTATTGCAAAATGTCGTCAGTGGTTCTCCCGGTGGCCCAGACATTTTTCTGGGAGCCAAGTAGACGTCCTTGAACATGTGACACACTCATCCGGTCATTTGATAGGAAATTATTGAGTTATACATGTATTGGCAAATAATAAGATGTTAATTTTAGCAAATTATTAGCCATTGTTAGGCATGACTGCACGAAAAAAAAATTTTGGGGGGGGGGAGGGGCAGTGTGCCTACTGTGGTTTGTGTGTGTGTGTGTGTTTTTTTTTTTTTTTTTTTTTTTTTTGCACAGTTCAAGAATAACTGCTACTTATATCTAACTTATATTAATCCCTTGTAGAAACTACAATGGTCATGTAACCTTTAATGACAATCTTTGATATTCATTTCTTTAAAGCCAAATTTTGAANCCCGGTGGCCCAGACATTTTTCTGGGAGCCAAGTAGACGTCCTTGAACATGTGACACACTCATCCGGTCATTTGATAGGAAATTATTGAGTTATACATGTATTGGCAAATAATAAGATGTTAATTTTAGCAAATTATTAGCCATTGTTAGGCATGACTGCACGAAAAAAAATTTTTGGGGGGGGGAGGGGCAGTGTACCTACTGTGGTTTGTGTGTGTGTGTGTTTTTTTTTTTTTTTTTTTTTGTCACAGTTCAAGAATAACTGCTACTTATATCTAACTTATATTAATCCCTTGTAGAAACTACAATGGTCATGTAACCTTTAATGACAATCTTTGATATTCATTTCTTTAAAGCCAAATTTTGAAATTCAAATTTTAATCAAAATTTTATAAAAACTTCCACTGGGACATATTATCGCCAATAGATTGCCAATAGATGATAAATAAAACAGTTTTATTTTGGGACATACCATTTCTTTATTATAAAACCTTCAATTTTTTGTTTAAACTCCCTTTTTAACTCTCTCTCTCTCTCTCTCTCTCTCTCTCTCTCTCTCTCTCTCTCTCTCTCTCTCTCTGCATGTGTAAGTGTATGCGTGCGTGCCTGTGTTTGTGTCAGAAACCGAAACATCTCGAAACCACAATGGAGTATCTATTTCTCAAAGCACGCTTTTAATTCGTGTCTGTCGTTGGCGACAGAGACTGTCTCGATAATAATGTGATTTCGAGTGTCGTGATCTTGTAGACAAAACAGGTCGGTGTAACCCCGTTACCTGAGCCCGTAAGCCGTCCTCAAGACACGAACGAACTCATTATCGACGCTCATCATCCCGATTATTATCTTCAGAGGCAAGACTCCGTCAATGACGCTTTCGTGTGGGGTCTCAAAAGGAAACGCATTCATGTTAAATTTGTACTCAAAAGAAGGAGTAGAAGACCAGAGAACTGTTTGAAACAATTAGAAGCATAAATCAAGTCTAATTGGCACAAAAGGTCTCCTAGTGTATACTGAAATGGTCGCTATCTTCAGTTAAGATGACGGTGACACTCGGATGTTTATTAAGCAGGGACTATAAATCGTGGGAAAGAAATTTATTAAAACTAGATGGGTATTTCTAATTTAAACACACGAAGACCTCTGAACTTAAATTTTAAAAAGTGGAAGCAAGTTTAGAAATCATTTCAAAATCTCCATGCTTTATGTGTGACAATTATTTTTAATAGAATATCTTTATGATAATGGCAAATATCCATTTTTGACAGTATTAAAGAATTGGTGTTTTTCCCTTCCAAGACATGGGACCATTAATTTATATCAAATTATTTCAAGGTGACCATGATCCTCTTTCTTTACAAAGAAGCGTTTCCATTTGCTACAACCAAGTTAATTTAATAAATTTATAAATCTCCTCTCCTAAAATGACGAAATACAATGAGATACTTTAAGTAGGGCTTCCAAATGCTTTTTTTAAACAACAGTTTTCCAGTTTTCAGGAAAAACCAAAGGTCACATTGTTTATCTGAATAAAATAAAAGCATGCTATTTTCATTGGTTGCATTTATACCATGTAAAAAAACGTAAAAATGTTTGAGATGAGATTTTAGTGGCTGAAGAATTAATTTTCTCTTCAAACAAACTAAATTGGTTTTCAAATTTACTTTTATAACCATGTTTACATTTTTTATCAATCAAAATGCTATTATATCGGTTGTCGGTTTTTCGCTCTAGTGCTTTCTTCACATCCGAGCCCGCCCAAGTGAATGCCGTTAAAAACCGTAGCGAAATCTGAGCCATGTAGACATTCTGTCGCCCTTAAAGGATAACTTTGAGCTTGAATTAGCTTTTCCCGATTTATTGTGGTTTTATTTCATTGGTAGTTTATTAAACAACATTTACAGAGATTTGGGACGCCAGGCATGCGACGTGTGGTGAGATCGGTTTCGTGAGTATCTCGCTCCCGCACGTGATATGGGCGTAAGTACAAAAGAGAACAATGGCATTTTAACTGCTCAAAACAAATGACAAAATATATCGCACTGAATTTTTTATTTTGAAATTTGTATGGAGAAGCAAAATTTTAAAAAGCATGTATATAAAAACGTTGTACACTTAGTGTATGTACCTACCGCCTTTCTCTTTCACGTTTGTTTCTCTAAAAAACAGTTTAGTGGTTGCACTTCAAAATTTGTCAGGAGCGCGATGTAAAAAAATTAAAATAAAGGCATAAGTATGCTACAGGAAAATCTTGCCCAGATGCACCCCCCCCCCAAAAAAAATAAATAAATAAATAAATAAAATAAAATAATTAAATTTTAAAAATAAAAAGATGAAGATAAAGAACATGGGTCTACTAAAAGGTGCTAAACCTTAGATAGTAACGATGATATTTTTTTCTTGGATTGGAATTAGCAATTGGGTTTATTCGGAGTAAAAGATTTTTTTCTTTCTTGTTAAAATACTATTTTCAAAAATAGTTGAAATTAAACCAAAAAGTTTTAACTTTTTAAGAATGCAAGTAAACATGTATACAATATTGGCTTTTTTTCATTTTTTTTTTAATCAAATAACATATTGAAAGGTGCTTCAGAGTTATCACTGATATTGAAATAATTCACCACTTCCATCACGGTCTTCTACCCATTAGACTGGATACTTAAATTGGTTTAGTGCGAGTGCAATTCCAATGCACACATCAATATTACACTTAAAAGTTAAGAAGGAAGCCTCAGAAAACACCAAACTGATAATTAAGGACAAGTAATTTTAGTAATAAATATAGTCCTATACGACATTGTCTGCTTATGCAGTACGGTCACCGTCCCTTTGATATTCATACCGATGCCGCCGCCGCCGTCGCTGATTAACACCTGGTGAATGAAGTCAAAAATTCCATTACACAACATTAGGTCCGGTCACCAAGGGCAGGAAGAACTGCATTACACAGGTAGACGCCTCAGCTTAGACAATAAGCAACGCCCCCCGGGTTCCAGTAGAGCAGTAGATCACCGATAGATTGAAGTTAATGGTAGGGCACTGGTCCTAATTTTGTTTTCACCTCTATGTGACATATTTGTCAGACAAAGCGTGCTGAGATTGTGGAACAATGCGTATGAGATAACATTGAGAACTAGACAAATGAGGTGTGGTTTCGCAGGGATTTTTCCACCGAGTGATCTTAAAGCTTAATATTCATTAAGGTGTTTCAATATTTATTTACTTGGACTTGATGAGCATAGCCCCAAAACAAGCGCAACGTTTTTTTTTTCTCCGTTTTCTATGTACCGTTCTGATGCGAATGGGTCAGCTTCCTTCGGCTCAGATGCTAGCTTTCTGGAGCCGCTGAATATTTATTAATGATTTCAATAATGAGAAATTGCTATTTCGGTTCAATTAACATTAACAGTAGTATATCTTTACCATCAGTCCCACAACGGCACAGATGTCTTGTTTCGCTCATATCTAATTTCAGAGAATAGGCTGTAGCAAATCAAATTTTATGGCTTGTTTTACACGGCTTTGCAGCGTATATATTGCCAAGAAGTTAATGAAATTTGCATCGATTACAGCAAAGGTTGGCGGTTCCAATCAGTCAGGTTTAAGTCTCACGGGTTCTCTGGTCCGACTCCGCTAACACCAGTTCTGTGATCAACCATTTCTCACTAAACCTAAATACTGCAACCGACATGGCTTATTGTGAGTCCGTCCGTTCCTTTTTTTCGGTTGATTTCTTTTAATGTTTACCGTAAGGTCATTGCTGATTGGTAAAGTTTTCAAAAGAAGTAACGTGCAAGCATGTGAGTTTGTAATGACTGGTGAAAGACTAGAAATATTAAAAAATACAACGCATAAATATGCTCACGTAAACAATTTTTGTTGTGTTAGTAAGATTAGTAGAAAATCAAATTAATTAACAAAGGTAATTTAGTCAAGTGATTATGAGAAGGACTGAAAAAATTGTTAACTAAAAATTTTGACAAATCTGAAACAAGTTACTCATGCACAAAATCCTTGGGCTCATTTATTTTTGATACATAAGAATAGCTTTTTTCCAGTCTACATTTTTTCCATAGAAGTAGAGAAAGATTTTTACGTGTAAATAATGTCATTCAAGAACGTAAAGCAAAGTTTTCTTACTGATCAGATATAAAGTAATATTATCTTTTATTGATTACAGTCGGGAATGTAAAAACGTTTATCTGTATCACTAAGCAAGACTCGATCTATAAAAGATAGTCAGATAGCTTTAAAAAAAATACTAAAAAGAATGATATACCAGTACCTATAGAATAACGTTCATCAGGCTGAAAAGATATTTATTGGCGATGCCAACGACTTTTACACCGGCATGAACAATGGTCTGATTTAATTGTGAATGAATATGTGAATTTATTTCTGATGCTAAGATCTGTTATTAAATCCTAGAATTACACATGAAAGTCCTTGTTTTATTTCTGTTGTGGTCTCTTTAACATTTATCTATTACAATAGGCCTACTAGTATGTATTTTCGGAGATATATGTTTATTTACCTCCCTGTGAATACCGCTTATCATTTTTGAGCACTTTCACACATATATTATACACTGTACATGTATTTTCCTTTAGATTTAGTCCGTTATTATTCTTTTGCTAGGGGTGAGAATTTATAGCTAAAAAAATCAGAATTTTTGATACTATGATCCGAACTTAAGTATACTAAAAGGGTAAAAGCGGTAGATGATTTTAGCGTAGTGCATATCTTATCAAAATCTTTTTTATGACTGTACCCCACATCATGGATTGATGGTGTATGAATCATTCTGTAATAGCATCAAAAGCACGTGGTAATGTTTACACCGGAAGTATTTGTGAAATGCGGGACTGCCGGAAGCAGAATGAAAGAACGTGAACGTGGTTTGAAAAATGTCAACACATAGAAATAAGGTGCCCCGATTGTGTCTCAGGCAAGTGCTATCTGATAATGGTAGTATTGTTTTTAATTAAGTTTCATATGGAAAGACATGATCAGGAACCCTACCTTCCGGCTTTTGTTTGATACGCTTGATTTGCCAGTCGATGATTCGACTAAATTGAATGGAAAAGATTCCCCACTCATTTCATTTTAAACATCATTCAGTAACAATAAACCCTTGAATGCGAAGTGCAGAAAATTATAACAGGAGTTGCTCTTATGTCTCACCCGACGCACTTGTATTTCACCATTTCAGATTGCCCAATGTATTAGGACATGCTTGATTGTCTCGTTGATTGGTCAATGAACCTAAAAACCACAGCCTTTCAAATGCCTGACAAGTTTTTATTTTAATTTTTTTTTCTGAACTAGAATCAAGCTCCATTTGCATGTTTTTGTACATGTTTACATTCATTGATCTGTTTAAATATTGCAGGGCCATGGAGAACGCACCTCATGATAATACATGTATCACAAGTACATGTGGGTACATATGATGGAGTACTCTGAGATGTAGCCAACCAGATCCAGTATCACAACCAGTGCCACATGCCTGTGGACCAGCAGGGGATATCTCATTAACACCAATACCATGCTCTGTCCAAAGAAGAAAACAATCCTCCTTATTAAAGCAGGCTGTGCTGTTGTTGTCCTATACACTATTATGAGATACAGCCTGAATGCTGTGTTACCCAAACAACATCAGACCATCCATATACCTAGCCAAGAGGTTGTGAATCATGAAATCCCCTCAGTTAGGAAGATTGTAGCTGGAAATTCACAGGTGGGGTGTCCCAGTAGGGCACCCCCACCGTGGTATGGTGGTAATCAAATGGACCCCTCTGTGAGATGTCAGCGTATCCCCCCTGCTCCTAATTCTTGTCAGTTGGCAGAGAAACTTTTCAAAGGGAAGACTGTAGACACCTGTGATCATCAAACAGAATATGTTTTTTGCAAGATCAAGGTTTGTCCTGAATGCCTGAAATATGTTAATCCTTGTGTCTTAAGATCACATATGATATGATTTATTGTGAAATATTCATCATTGCTAAATTAAAAATCTAATTATGTACAGTACCCCCGGTACATGTACTAGTACTGTATCTGTAAGTCTGTATTTGTCCTCAACAGAAAAAAATCAGCTTCTTTTAATTACAGCTTAATATTGAAATTGTTTACTTCCAGTATCTCGGTGTATGTGAGAACATTTTCATCAGGGAATGAGACCATCCAGGTGAATAAGCCTCTATTCAGAAGATTTACTTCTCCCCCTTCTCCCCCTTAACCCCCCCCCCCCCCCCCCCCCCATTTCTGATGAAGATGTTCTGATAGACATTGAAATATCGGAGGGAAACAATTTCAGTATTTAGCTGTTAGTTGAAGAAAAAAATACTTTATGCTTATAACATGAAGTGGCTGATGAACTTCTTCTCTGTATTCTTCCAGAAAATCTCAGTGGAGGATTACCATGTTAAGTGCAGTGGTAGTGAAATCAAGAAGACTTGTGTAGGGGACATCCAACTGGGAGTCATCAATGAAAAGACTGGAGAAACCAAGTGGACAGATTATACTTCAACCGGTTAAGTATTTTTAGTTGCTAATCTCTCTCTCTCTCTCTCTCTCTCTCTCTCATTTCTGTTTAAGATATTTTATAAAACAAAAGTAATTGATATTAAACATACCTATATTGTCTGGATTTTATTTAAACATTGTTTATTCTAATTACTTGTCCAACAGGATCCCTTGAAGAAGCTCTTGCCAAATTGATCCATCCTTCGTCACCAAAGAGACATTTTGGACTTTGTTTTTTACGTTGCATTCTCAAAAGACAACAGGGTCAAGAGGCAATGGGCAAAGATATGTCTATTAGCAAGGACAGTTTTTTCTTGGACTATGCGACTCAGCTGTTGCTGCTGCCACCACAGTTAAAAACACAATCATCGTCTCAACTACTACAATCTCAGTCCCAGAACAATCACATAAACTTTAATCTCATTTTTATTGATTCCGTATCTCATCCACACTTCCAAAGATCTATGCCAAAAACAATCGAAGCTTTGAGCAAAATTCATCACAGAAAAGAAAAGAAGATGTTTGTGTTTGAATATGAACTGTTTCAAGCCATTAGATCAAGAACTTATGAGACTATCCAAGCACTGTTTTCTGGAGAAGCAGATGTGGATAAAAAGCCATTTGCTGTATTAGATATGCCACCAAAGCCTCTGAAATATCAAGAACTGTTTGGCCCTTTGAGAAAACATGGTTACTCAACACTTTTTTTGGAAGATCTGTGTTGGATAAGGGAATGGGGTGTAGGGAAAGATCTTCTCGTGTATAATGAAAGTTTGTCAAGGCAGGACATGTGGAGAAAACTGCTTGAGGCACTGGACAAGGCAGCAATTGATGGCTTTGACATTACCTATGCAAGCTGCCCAATTTTAGAATTCTATGGTGAAAAGGACCCATTTTTTCATCTCCCTGTTGTGTGTTATAATGGCCGTCACCATCATCAGTATATTCTCGACTACTTGACAGAATTCCAAAATTTGCACACTGTAATACAAAAGCCATATGCTACGTTTGCCACTACAAATGTTGGACACGATGAATATGGCACTAGAATTCAAACATTAGACCCAGACCTGGCAAAGTACGTGGAGGTTGTCTCCAGCCAGGAAAACACAATCACAGTTCTGTTCTCCGACCATGGGAACGCCTATGGACGATTTGTAGAACAGAGTATTGAAGGGAGACTGGAGGTGTACCACCCTTTTCTTTACATCCTCATCCCTGAACCAGTAGCCAGCCAGCTGGGACCTAAGGCTGTGAAAAACCTAAAAATCAACCAGCAGCGACTTGTCAGTATATTTGATGTGCATTACATGCTACGTTCACTTCTTCCAAAGAAAACTCCACCTTCACCTCAAGCCACTGCCCTTGCCAAGCTGTTCAACATACCACCCCGGGGGCTACTGGACATAGTCTCTGCCAATAGAACATGCGATGATATCCCACGACTTCCCCCCAGTCTGTGCATATGTGAGGGCTACGAGACTATGGTGTCTAATGATACATACCATGCACTGGTGGCAGAGTTTGCTCTAGGACAGCTGAATAACTTGATCACTGACCAGTTTCACAATGTGGATTTGGCAGCTAAGTCGGGGTACGGGACCTGCAGGCGTCTGGTGGCCACTAGGTTTGAGAATGTCAAGGAGATGAGGAAAATGGTGAGGAAAAAAACAAGCCAAATTGTAACTTACATTTGAATTTTTTTTCTATAAGCATGTAAGCTTCAATCTACATATTTTGCAAGGTCTGTTGTTAAAATGAAAAATCATGTTGATTTCATTTAAATGTTTTTTCTTCTCAATTATAAGATTTATTTTAAAAAAATTAATTTAATTTTAATTTATTTTCCAGGGCACAAATGGGGTTTACACTGTCACAACAAAATTTGATTTGTATGTGACATCCTTTGACAAATATCAGCACAGGAAAGAAAAGCCGTATACGGAGGATATTTTCTTCATCACAGTAAACTCCTACCTCGGCAAGACAACGAAATTAGTACTTAGAAATTATGAGAGGATAACTTCCTACTCTAAATACGGCGAGTGTGCAGACCAAGGTGTCAGTCTCAAATTATGCATTTGCGATACAGAGAAAACAGAGAGAGATTTTAATTTTAATCGCCCCGTTAATTGGGTCGATGAACTGCCGCAATTACGCATGTTAAATGCTAAAACCAGTATTTTTGTCCCTGCTGAAAGTGAAGATGGAAACTGCTTGAAAGTTTTCTTAAGAAGGCATGGAAATGGTGCTAGCTTTGAGATTGCTAATGTTTGCCTTTCGAAACAGGTTGAAGTAAAAATGGATTTTGTTATGAAGAATATGGACGCTTCTTCCCCATTACCTGCCGAGTGTGTGCTTTACCCAGGACAGATAAAGTTTGTTGTCACGGTAACACAAAAAGTGGAACATTTAAAATGGGAGTGGAATTTCAACTTGAGCATGAAAACGTCAGAGGTAGACACAGTGTAAACATACTCAGCGTTGATATTTTGAGAATAAAATGCAAAATGTGCAAGACAAGCCTTCCACACAGAGCTGATGAAATCTGTATTGTTTGTCAAATGGGATGTATTTAGACTTTTTAAAACATTTTAAATGTATCAGCTGTAGGGTCCATTTCCAAAACAGAATGAGAACGAAGCATATTCCTTTGAGATAATGTTTGAGGTCAAACAACTTGGCTGAATTTGCAGAGGGTTTTACTTTAAATTTGAAGTGCAATTTACTTAATTTAAAGATGTAATATTAGTAATTTTTGATTATAAATGTTGTATATCACCATTTTCTTAATGCCAAAATGTGAAATTTTGAGTTAAATTTTGATTTTACACATTTCTATTTTTATTGTATTCCTAGGGTACCAAGGTACATGTGATAAGTACTAGTATAGAATATTTACAAGGTTAAGGTTGTATGTTTATTCCGATGCAAAGACCCTGATTTGATAGTAAATTTCATTTTGTATTCTAAATTGTTGAATACACTCCTATTTATTCATTTGTTTTTCGTTTCCAATCTGAAATTTCTTCTTAAGGCCAGTGCAAATAGTCATACAACCACCTACTTGTAGTGATCACTAGTAAGTTGTTTGTAAAACTTTTAGTTGTCATAATAATGTTTTAGTTGACACCTAGAATTAGAATCAGTTGAGATTGTATTTATGATTTTTTATTTATTGATATTATTCTTCTACACTACTGTAATAGAACGAGGGACAGCAATAAAAGGATGTGGTGAAAAGGATCAAAATGTTTTGAGCATTGTACAAACATACATTTTTGTCACGGTGACAAGGTTTATGAGGCAAATTTATCTTATAGTGAAATTTACGTGTTACGTGTATGATTCTAGAGTCGCCTTAGAACAGTTAATTTATTATTTAACATTGTACAAGGTCATGATTATTTATGTACCAGTACAGAAATAAAATGAATTGAATAGTAAAGGAGAAAAATATCAGTGTTCCGGTACCGGGAATCGAACCCGGGCCGCCTGGGTGAAAACCAGGAATCCTAACCACTAGACCATACCGGACTACATGTGGGGAAAAGGCAATTTTAAATATATAAAAAAAGAAGTTGGCTTCGACGATAGGAGGTGAACTGGAAGTAGTCAAACAAACTTATATTTTACATGGTTCCGTATACAGTTATAAATCACCTACATATTATAGTGATTTGTCGTCTTTTTGAAACACTCGTGGTTAAGCTCTGCACAAGTGGAACGAGACTGACCCCATTAAGTGGTCACATGATATACAAAATGGCGCTGTCTATAAACATGGGTCTACTCCTCATTTTCGTTATAAATGTAGACTCTAGCACGGATTTGTTACCGGTTGTCATAAATACTTGGGCCTTTACAAATGCAACTCAATCAGGTACATTTTAGAATTAATTTAAACTCAATAAAACTTAATAAAATAAGCATAATTTTTGGTTAAAACGCGCGGGTTGATCAATTTCCGACAGGATCGATGTAAAAAAGAAAATATTTATTTGTAAATAATCAGTAGGTAGCTTATTTTTGGTACCTGTTTTGGAAGCATACATATTGACAGTATACATTTTTACTGGTCTTCTGCACAGTGGAGTTGACCACCATTTGAATTTATTTTATCTTATGTATTTATTTTGCAATATTAATATTGATTGAGCTCAATCTTAAGTTACTGGTCAATGAACTGACCACTGGTTGGAAGCCTCATTGATTAAAATTCAACCCTGTATTTACCAGCATGCTGACTGAAGGACGGTTAGTTATTTGTACCAGTAGACATAAAGACCTGGGACTTAATTTACAATGGAAACACAGTAGATGATGTCTTGATATTGTTGGTGATATTTGGGGCCATAGCAATAGTCCGAAGGCTCATTACTCCGAAGGTTTGACAGTCCAAATTAATGCATGAATAAAGCATATAATGTATTGGTGATAAAGTAAAGCGTGAATAGGATATTTCAGACCAATGAACCTTTGGCTTATCAAGACGCCCCCTATATTTCAGCATGGCAGGTTCTCCAGAGTGGCGGCAGTGTATTGGATGCAGTAGTTGCTGGGTGTGGTCAGTGTGAGGTTGACCAGTGTGATGGTACAGTGGGATATGGAGGGAGTCCTGATGAGAGTGGAGAGACAACACTTGATGCCATGATAATGGATGGGTAGGGATAAGCGTGTTATACACTGTTATACACTGTTATACGACAAATGGACTGTACTGTCTGAAACCCTGTGGATTACATTAAACTCTATATATCAGAGTACTTGTACAGGATCCAAACTAATTTTATATTATTTATATATTTATATATTTATTTATTTTTATTTATTTAATTATTATCATTATTTTTAATGAAGGGTTAAATGAAACTTCATAGCAATGATATTACGGGTAGATAAAGTGCAAGCTGTGCACCAAAGCATACAGGTAAATGTACAACGTAGACCTGAACTAGAACCTAAAGGAAGAAAAATATGCTGCTCTAAGTCTGCCAAAGTGCTAACAGTTGAAAAATGTGCTAACATTGCTTAATTGGCTCCTGTTTAATTTACTGAGTCTGACTGTTTAAAAATCAACAAATTAAAGTTTTACCTGGGAAGATCTGAAAATAATATAAACTAAAAGCAGACTATTTCAAGATTATTTGCAAAGTATATAATACTAGTAGCTTATTTTTGTTGTGTACCCTTTTTATATAACTTTTACTAGTATGGTTCCTATGCACACTGTATGTTTTATGTCATAAATTATTTTATATGTTGGTAAAAGGTGCTTGTACCATGTGCCAAAATATCCAGTTTTTAAAGTTAACAAATAAGATGAGTGTTTTATTGTGAAAGAGAATCTTCTTCAAAGGCAATGAAACTCAGGGTGTAAATTATTCAATCAGTTGAGCAGAATTTTTTATAAAAATGAAAGGTAAATGTAATTATTTGTAAATTTTGTTTTTACAGACAAACATTATCTGTTGGTGCAGTTTCAGCCTTGAAAAGAGTGAAGAATGCGATTGGTGTTGCTCGAGCTGTGATGGATTATACGACACACACCCTGCTGGCAGGGGAATCAGGTGTGTACATTTTAAGACATTTTAAGACATATCTCACCCTGGCCAAGTATATTCAAGGAATGTACAAGTAGAGATGCTTCAAAAAGATTATTAAAAAAATAGTTCTTTCTTTTTTCGGTGGTGCGGGGGGGGGGGGGGGGGGGCATTCAGAATAGTGGACTAACTAGCCCGAGGGTCAAATATGGTGACCTACTACAAAGCTTGCCGTCTAATCCACTAATAGGCACTGAATAGATATCCCATGGGGAATTATTCAAGTGGTTCAGCCATATTTGACCCTCGGACTAGTTAGTACCCTTTTTTGAATTGGGCCATAGGCACATTACTGTGTTTGAGACCAGAAAAACACCACCTATTTTGGGGAGAATGCTAACATTTTTAGCTTAAATCTACATGTACATGTATGACTATATTTCACAAGTTACAAATTCTAGTTGGTGTTCTTTAACTCTACTACTTTTGTTTTCAGCTACACAGTTTGCCATTGGCATGGGGTTTAAAGAGGAAGATTTACACACTAACAGATCAATCAATATATGGAAACAGTGGAAAAATAATCATTGCCAGCCCAACTACAGAAAAGTAAGTTGTATGTAAAAATATCTGTCCCTAACAGGGCTAATATCAAAACATAATTAAGCTACTGCAGTTACATTTTATAAATGGAATGATGGGGTCCAAAAGATAATTGTGTGTGTTGAATTGAAAATAATGACATATTTCTTCTGGTTCTGAAATATTCATGTAGTTGAATCAAGAAATACTGTAAAATTCAGTTTTGAAAAGCAAAATTATTTCCATGATTCACATTTTATTTCTGTTCCAGAATGTCTCACCTAACCCTAGGAAGTCCTGTGGTCCATATAAAAGAAATAAAGTCATTCAAAATGACCGAATTCCCTCATCCAGAGATATTGGCAGGTTCAATCATGATACTATAGGGATGGTGGTTGTGGATAAGAATAGGAAAGTTGTCTCAGGCACCTCAACAAATGGAATGAATCATAAAGTACCTGGGTAGGCATGCATGAGTGGTTTAATTGTTTTTTGCTTACACATACATGTACGCGCAAGCCTTATTTCTTATGCTATTTTTAAAGTAGATTGATATGCAAACATGATCATGATATTTTGTCTTTTTACTGCAGAGATGATATCATACTTAATACCTTTTTTAAAAGTTAAAAAAGCCACTTTTGATTTTTTGATGGTAAGTTGCCTGAAAATTTTGAATTCCAGTTGAATTTTTTACTCAGGTTTCTCCCATTTTACTTAGAGCAGGCTTATCATGCATACTCTAAATAATTAAAAGGACATTTTTTGTAAGCCAGTATGACAAAGGAAATTTGATAATTGAAATGTTGTACTTCTTTTAAAGCAAACTATTGTGTAGTTGGCTAAATAATTGTTGCTTATTGTTTTTTAGACGGGTTGGAGATTCTCCCATTGCTGGAGCTGGCTCATATGCTGACAGTGATGTAGGGGGCGCTGCTGCAACTGGGGATGGAGACGTCATGATGAGATTGTTACCAAGGTGATCCTTTGCTGATTTGTAGATAACATTTTCCCTGATTTGGTACAAACCCAGTTTGTTACATCACTTTTATTCTCAGTTACTCCGAAACAATATGAATATATACTTTCATTAATTAATACCAATTATTCAAAAGCAAAATTTAATTTGTATATTAAAAATAAAAGTTTTGAAACAAGATGTAGACAATTTTATATTAATATTGTTTATTTGTTGCAGCTACCAGGCTGTAGAGTTTATGAGGAATGGGGATAGCCCTAGCCTCGCTGCAGCCAAAAGTATACAGAGAATAATCCACCATTATCCTAACTTCTCAGGAGCACTTATAGCTGTATCTAAAGACGGACAAGTTGGTAAGCATGTAAAAATTAGATTGATATTGGGGGGAAGATTTAAAGGTCAACTGGTTTAATAATCAGTGATTAATGTGACAGTGGGATTATCTCTTATCTGGTGGGTTTTAACTGAATGTCCTAGATTCAGGCATAGATTTTAATTGTTTATTATCTTTACAAGAGACATGCACCAGTTTGTATTGCCTTTTATTCTCTTATGGCATACTGGCATTCTCTTATCACTCTCTCATTGTTATGTAGTTTGGGTTTTGCTGCTGTCATAAAACAGATCATATAGCATCAAAAAAAAACAAAAAAAACAAACAAAGCTACATAATATTTCAAATCCATGTCAAATACTAGAGAAATTACAAGCTCCAAAAAACATTCCATTTTTTTTTTTTTGTTAATTTTTAGGTGCAGCATGCAATGGCATACCAGCATTCCCTTACTCTGTTATAAACCCCAAACTGCAGAAAGTTACTGTTGTGTCTGTAAAGTGCATCTAGCAAATGCAGCATGTCATGTTTGAGCGTAGCAGCTTTATTGGACCATTGTTCTTCAATTGTTAAATGTATATTTATTCATTGTTCACAAAGGATGTTTGTCATTTAAGTCTTATTGGGTAGAAAACAAACGTCTTATTGAGTAAAAAAAACATTCGAATTTTAAAACATGATGAAAAGTATGCATGTTTCGAGATATAAAAGAGAAATAAAATGTTATTGGTTGTTTTAAAATATATTATGTGGTTATGTTATACGATATTAAAGATATTATTCTATGGAATGTAAGTCGACCAAGCTGAATTTATCATACGTGCATATTCTGCTTACTTTAAAGTGCTATAAAAATCAAGTTTTAAAACCTGATTTTATGTCGGAAATTCTGATACATTTGTTTGTAGTCGTTAGTGTATGGATGCTAATAATGCAATTTAAATGCATGTGATCTTGGCATGCGAAATCAATAATTTACAAATGATATTTTACAGCCACGATAAGTTTATTGTAAACCTAACTGAGTTTAGCAAATGTTTGGTTTAATAAACTGATAAGCCCGTTTTTTATCTGAAAATCTGAGACAACGGCTTAGAAGTCGGCGTTCACTCTCCAGCAATATCTGAACAATTGTTGCCGTTTCGATAATCATTCTGACCAAATAGATCGTGTATGTGCCGCATTATTGTGTACATTCAAAGACCTAGCTTATATCCCAGGTAACTCGCATCTTCCTTGTATATATCCCAGACCTTTTGAAGTAGTTTTCTATCTACCCCACTATAGTATTTTTGTATGAGAGTCTCGTTGCGGTAGGACTCGATCTCGCGATGAGATGACGGGAATTGTGCTATCAAGTGTTCGGCGCCCAGTAGACGCATTACATTAGGCGCGTCGGTGGTTAGATCTTCATGATGAACAATGACATCATACTGAACGTCACATGGTTTGCAAAAATCCTCGACCAAAGCCCAGTGGATATTATTTGGTCCATTATCTGCAATATACAGCAGAAAATCCGAAAATAAAATATGTTTTTGCAAAGTAATGTGCCTGTTATATTGCTGGTTTAAATAATTTTTCACTCTAGGACCTAAAAACTTAAACAAAACTTGTTCCTTGTACACCGACACGAGTCTTTCTAGTGGGTGTCGCACCACTAAGACCTTCAGATAATTTGCTAAGCGCTTGCTGTTGTTCTTGCTGTCATAGGAATACAACTGTGTGTAATAATTTGGACGGCTCTGGAAGACAACATTTGCTGGATCCTGACGTCCGGACAAAATCTGATACACATTGCGCCAGTTACGACTTGCAGCTTTCAGCATTGTGCACAATATCAGTTTATATTTGTCATCCACTATTATCCATTTTTGTTTCTTCAAATAGTTGAATGGAGTAGTTTTGCGGGTGCTGCATCTGTCTCGTAACCTGTGTTTTCGCCTGATCATGGAAGACACCCAATTCTGAGGTACCTTGTCCCAACCGAATGACTGAAAAATGCGTTCGTTTTAAAAGTATGAGCGTTTAAAAAGTTAAGTTTTGTACACAATATAAGGTCAATTAAAGGTGTGGCCAATGAAAACACAGGACAAACTAAAAGGACAAGCTAAGATCGCAAGGTCAACAAAAGTTTCAGAACTATAGTTCTCGCGTGAAGTCGACCTCACAACGTAAACGACAGAAATTCAAAGAAGGATTGTTTTAAGCCACAAGATGAGTATTGTGCCTTTACAATTATGTACTTTTTCCGGAAGTCTTCCTGAAGACACTTTCCCTTGAATACCAAGATATACCATATCCAAACCATTTCACAGCATTACAATCTATTGACCAAACCCGTATTAGGGTAGTAGCAGTACAGAACCAGCTTAAATTACATATGTTTCTAAACCACACATTAATTGGATAAAGGTAATAAAACGCATTGCTGTTATTTGACTTTCAGAAGAGCAGAATTCTGAACACAAAAACCAGCTGCTACAGACAAGTATGATAGAATGAATGAATAAATTAATTATTAAACCAATTAATGAGCTGATTGCCGAATGAACAGTAGAATAAATACCTCCCAGATCCGTTTATTTACGGTAAGATGTTCTTTATTGTACTTGGGTAAACTGTAATTACTTCGGAGAGCAGTGTCACTTCCCTGGCGTGCTTCTGCATCTTGTTGAATTGATACGGATTTATAAATACCTGGAATAGATACGCAAATCATAAAATCTCTGAGGTTTATTTTGGTGTTTCGGTAAAGCATTTCACCCCTACCTTTAATAATTACATCCTGCTTTTCAGTTAATTAATTTTCTTTTTGTTATTATAATTTATTAGCTTTATCGCATAATTATCTTTACTTTCCAGTGATGAATAAATATCCCGGTGACTCCCTTCGCCACAAACAGTTTTCATGTAATAATTAAACAGAGCAAAAATATCTCTCTATTTCTGTAGTATTATAAAATCCACTTGTTAAGTTGATTATCGTCGAAACCATACGTCAATATTTTTAAATGCTGGTGAAAAGTATACTGAACTTTGCTACTTGTTTCAACAGTTACGAATCATGCATTCAAGATCTAAAGGAAAAAAGACCGAAAGTACATATACTAATAATGCAAGCTTTGATTACTTGATAATTTTATCTATTTTACTTTGAGAACAATTTATGTCAAAACATCTCTCTTTACTAACATTGGGAGTTTGACATTTAATAGTTTGATGATTGCTTAACACAAACTTTTTCAAACACCTATTCTTAAATGTGTGTTTTCCAAACGTCTATAATTCAATGCAATGTTTCTTAGATCATCGGTCATTTAAACTATTTTTCATAAAAATTATATAAAAGTTACCTGTTCTATTGACCAGCCAAATCCACAACAGCAATAAGTTGCAGACAGTTATGGCAATGACGAAGGTCGTTTTTAGTTGCATTACACACGTATATTTGCCTAAACTCCGAAGATCATACAAATAACATAGGTCCCATTCCTAGGTTTTTGAGATATAGAATGACAAGCTGTGCAGTTCTTATGTAAATTGTCTTAAGTAACATTTTATGGCAAACTCTGTAGAAGATGAGGGTAATACATAAACTAAAATGGACACTATAAATATGCTGGCAATGCACATTAAGGCGAATTGACTTGGAGAAACCAGCATGGCTATGTGCAAAATGAACCAAAGTTTTATTACGAGTTACATAAAGCCTCAAAAACGGAAGCAATGCCATTAAATATATAAAAAAACAGAAAATAACCATGCCATGACAGTGCACAGAATAGTATACAGTGATGCTTAAAAACCGCATAATCGTAACTTAACTTTTATAATTCCTTTAAGTTAGTTAATGTGGAAGAGGCAACGGGCACAGATGCAGGCCCATTGGAGTTCAAAGTCATACAATGAAAATGTCAATGAGTAAAAAATGAAAAACATTCAGAAGGAAAAAATATAACCGCATCACTTCAACTGGGGTTTTATTTTTATCCTATAATTGTCATTCTTGTAAGTTGGAGGATAAGTAACATGTTTTTCCTTACATAGTGTGTATTGTGACAGTGCACAAAATATGATATTTGTCAATTGTGATGCAATATTACATAGGCTGCATTCACAACAGAGGACTTACTAGTCCGTGGATCACATATGGCCGACCAAATTGAAAACTTGATGCGTAATCCCTGCGGGGAACCTGTTCAGTGTTTTACGGGATTAGACGGCGAGCTTTAAAGTGGGTCGCCTTAAATGATCCGCAAACTAGTTATTCTTTCTGAATGTTCTGAATGTCGTCTTAGTGTTTAGCTGCATAATAATCTTTATTTTACGAATGTACAATACTACAGTACAGGTAACATCGGCATTTAGGTTATTTGAGCACTGTCATAGTTATCATTCGCTTTATCTGTTTATTTCTTAGCTTTGCTGCCTTGCTTTTAACCTTAATCGTCATCAAACACCTTAGTAGTCTAGCTTGGACCAATCATACATTCCAAGATGCATATTGCATATTTTAATATACTTAAAAGTGCGTTTACAGTAATTATGCTTGGAAAGAAAGAGAAACAGACTACTGATATCAGATGAACTTTTATTATCAACTTGAAATATAAAAAAAGCAAAATGTCACAGAAATTCTTCTATTATTTATCATATTCCTCATGCTTTCAGAAAACACAACTCTGAGTGACACTTGTAATCTCAGTCATATGAACGAATTAATTTTTTTTGTTTTTGTTTTTAAACATATTAAAATAAAAAGTGATTGATAAACGGAACTCGTAGAACAATATGGGCACTTTGCTGTTGCAACCTTGCATATGAAATAATTCAATAAAAGCTTATTAAGGAGTCATTACCACTGGCACTATCGGTCTATGTAGATCGATCCAACTCCGCGGGGACTCTCGCTGAATGCAATCAGATTATCTAAATGACACGCCTCCTCCTGGCGTTAAATAGAATGTAGAAAAGCTGGTGATTATACGAGTGTGTTAATCTTTTAAAATAATTGCATACAGCGAGAGTCCCCGGGGAGTTGGATCGATTCACGCAGACCGATAGTGCCAATAGGAATGAGCCCCAGAATAACAAAATTGTTGTTGATATAAAACAGACAAGCAACGTACAAATTCAATGTAAGACTAGACAGGATTGAGTGTCAAAACAAAAATAATATGGAACTGTTTTCAAGTAATATAATCATTGAGCATTTCATGGCAGCGTGAAACAGCCTTCCTATGCTACTTGTATAAAGGGCCTAACCTGCCTTCACTGGTGCACGCGGCGTTCACCTGTTATGGTCAAAGCACAGGTGTAGGTTAATGACCAAAAATAACAATCGCTGATTTTTCCAACGAAAAGAAAATAATGACACTGTGTTTGTCAACATAACAGTACCAGTACAATGCATAGAAAAGCGAAGCAGTGGAATCGGTTTCAGGGTGATCTTCTTGAACTGTGGGTATTAAATGGCACACTTGACGCACGAAAACTGGTCACCGCGGTGCATTTAGCTAATGACCAAGAACAACAATCGCACATTTCACATAAATATAATCAAAAACAAAATAAGAATATCACCCCCACAGAGCAACCAGAGAAGCAATTGCTTATAATATACAACACTGATGCAATGTGATGAACCGTATATTTGGCACGCTCCGTTAATTTTTTGCTGACCAACGCACAGCTGCCTGTTTATGAGCAAGAAAACGCAATCGATTTTCTCTCTGTGACCTAAAGGTTGAAGTAAATATTACCATAGGGAAATACTCACTTCGGATGTTTTCACTGTTTATTCGTTGCACAAATAATTATTGATTGGGCCCTGATGCGAGTTTTCTTTTTTGCTTTGTTTGACGAAGCTTTCAAACCAAGAGTTAATCAATGTGAAAATATCATCTTGCATTACATGCTTAATTTCACTTAGTTGTTTTTTTCTTGGTAATAAAAATTATGCAAATTTTAACCTCTTCCTCGTGTGAAAAATATCATGACATGCACCCGCCCCCATTTAGCAGGATTTTATTATTAGTCGTCCCGCATAGCGCACTTTGCCTTATTTGAAAACAAAGCAAGGAAAAACAACTACTTCTGTATAATGCGGTAGAGATCCGCCTCTATTAATATCTGTGGGTCGTCAGCAACTCCACAGAGTAAAGGTTCCAAAGCTGGAGAGCTCATTTTTGCTTGGCGCTGGTTTTCGTTGTAAAACTGCAAGCCGGGTGGAGGTCGCCGTGTTCTGTTTCTCCGACGTAAGATTGTCATGGGGAACGGCGACAGTGTCACTCTGCTCACGGGGTGTGGTGTTCCGTGTTCTTCTCACGACCATTCTCTCCATCTGCGCCACTCTTAAAGCTTCTTTAATTCTGTCGCGTTCTCGTTCTTGTTCTATGACTAAAAAGATATGAAAACATATTTTGATGAGAATGCAAATAAAAATTTCAACAGAATAAAGAAAGTGGATTTTAGTGGACAAACCTTTGAAGTAGTGATGTAGCGCCACGTTCTATAATTACTGGAATAATAACTAGGGGTGTTTGAGACAAATGTTCTGCAGCATGAGTTTCATGGCGCTGCTGAGTAAATTCATATCTTGAATGAAGTTCTAAATATTGGACTAAGTGGAAGTAAAGTAGGGGTATCGGCGTGTTAACACTCCTGAACCCAACTCCTTTAAAAGCCTTTTCATTGTTACGTAATGATATACGGCTAAATGTTTAGATTCTACATCCTAGGCAAACAAATTCCGTCCTTTTTGCAAGTTGGCTTATGAAATATCATTTCAGTCCAAGACCCCTGATATTTGACAACATATCAAATCGATCCATTAAGAGTTTTGAAGAATGTGATATGTATTGACATTGGATATATAGTCAATTGCTAGCCTGGCTCATTGCTCCAGGTTGGTTTCTTTGCTAGGAGACATTAGTGAAGAGGGTATAGATGAACAAAGCTCGTTCACGAGGGAAAAAGAAACCCGGTCTTAGCGGCTAGACTTAGTGTCTGATTAACTGTCCTATGCTACCCTCTACCATGGCCACAGATTTATTTTTCACAAGATATTCACAGATATGTCTTTAGATGAAAAGACGGTCATTTTAGGCTACTATCTCTGGCTTTTGGTAATTTTCCCTATAATATCTGCCACCCTGGTAGAGGGTATAGTACTATGCCAAGAGTTGTCATCACATTAGTGACCGACGGTTGAGCTCCATTATTGATTCAAATGACCTACTGCTGGGCTTGCGACTGTCTGATCACGACACCCAACTAATGACGAAAAATAAAACGGTTCAAAACTGGTTTAAATTATCATGTGTGGATACAGTTTGTTGACAGACGTGCCACACTTTCGGGATCACCTGCGTCGATATGTACTTTTCACAGCCCTGGAGATAACGATTTTACATTATCTATTAATAAGAAGCAAAATGACCTTCAAGTTTTGCGGTGGCTTAAATGAAAAAGAAGCAATTTCTTTTAATCAAGGATGTGTGCAAGTCCCAGAGCTTATTCCCCGGGGCCATGTGAGAAAATGATTGAATCTAAGAATCGATGTTATTTTTACCTCAGCCTACGCGCAGGCTTTAGAGCCCAACAAAAAAGAGAAAGGCAAATATTAGTTTATGTCTTCTTTCCTGTTGAATCATCAGTCTCTAAGTGTAAATCTATTGACGTAGGACTACCTTCTCGAAATCAATGACAACAAATGTCATGTTTTCCAGAGTCGATGCCAGTACTTATTCTAAAGGCAAGGAAGTTGGTTTAGTGGTACACTTATGCAGTAATAATAAAGACTTGTTTGAATCCTGAGGGGGGTTCCCAGAGAACATCAACAGTTTATTAACAGTGGCACTGAGTAATAAACAAATCATTGTTTTTTCTGTTGCCTGATAAATGTCACGTTCCATTCTACCCTTTGATCTCTTGTCCTCGAGGTGAGAGAGAAAAAAAGAAAAACGTCCTCTCTTCAAACCTGAATCATATTCCCTGTCCATCCAGCACTGTTTTTTTCTCCAACATGTAGCAACACTAACCAGTACCCAGATACATATTTGACATAGATTAACCCCATTGACGAGGCCTATTCGCCGAAAATTGAATGATCTAATAAAACAGAATTATAAAAACGAGAATCGGAGTAATGATAATTAAAATGAATAGACAAGCAAACCTGTTTTTGTTGGCAGAGTATTACGAACTTCGGTTTTGACGCTCTTCAGTTCGTACCAATATTTCCAATTTCTCACTTCCCCTGCAAGGTATTTCATTTGCGGGAGGTAATGTCCATCTTTCCGTGGCGTCCACTGTTGATTGCTTGGACTCTCCGGGGTAATATTCTCACGAGGGGTTGCCTCACTATTGCTGCCAGCGCTGTTCCGTCCTCGTGCATTGGAGCTGGACGTAGAACATGAACTTCCACCGATGGTGTTCTGCCTAGCGTTCCTCCATCCTCTGTGCCTCAGATTGTAGCGTCCGGAACCATAGCCTTTATACTGATAGGGAGAGCACGTAGATTCGTCTCTCTTGTATCGACCTGCTGTCCGACTGTTTGCCCCCTCATCTGTTGGGGGTTCTGGGCCGTAACTGTAATTCCTGCTTCGGGTAAGTCTTGGAGCTAACAGAAGTGGCTTTGGACTGGGCATATTCCTCTCCCAGGCGACGAACGAAGGGAGTGGAATCCGAGCTCCAACTGCAACGGGAGTTAATTTGATGAATCACGGCCGCATCGTCTGCTTTATTGTTGGAATTGCAAGAAAAAAGCTGCTACTTATTATGGGGTTATAAATCATCGCTTTGATTCAAAAGAAATACACTTTGCACTGATTTCTGTAGGGTAATTGAACATTGTGCTACGTTTCAACAATGTCGCTCTACAAGATTTATGCTGAATATCTTGCAAACGAAACGCATCGCCGAGATCAAGCCCATTAGTTTCTTTTCAATGTAACACTTTTTTTCTAGAATTTCGTTGACAACGGAACAAATTGCCAATTTGGCCCACAATTGGATTTTCTGTCTAGTGTCGCATGAACGAGTTGAAATAAAATTGATAAAAGCAGGCAAAGAAAGATTCCGTCACTAACTTACGTGTGCTGCCAAGAGCCACTTTACATAGTTTAATACACCTGTGCTTGCCTTCTGCGTCCCTCGTTTTCTATTTTCCCATTAACCCCTACCACCTATAAAGTACCAGTTACTAAACAAGCTGTAGATACATATGATGTCAGCGTCAAATCAAAGGGCACGAAGTCAAACCGTGTATTGTAGCACGTGAAAACTGCTTCATGTACACAGGTGTGGTATTACCGCCCATTGTTGTTGTATTCTTTCCGTCTCTATAGCTGTGTTCACATCATGTCCAATGGAGCAAATCCGATTCCATCCCTGTTTACATCATCAGCCTCATTGAAAAATTATGCCGGCGTCGACCTCGCGTTGATTTTATTAACTTTAGACTGAATAGAGAAACGGGAAGATGTTCATGGAGGCATACCGTGCGCCGACGGCTAAATTACAATAAACACTGATAACGTAAAAAAAGATCGATTCAAGTTTGCTTTATCATTAAAAGTTGAATCTTACCAGAGGTACGACCCTAAGCCAACAGCTCAACATACCGTGTTTGTCAAAGCGACAACAGGCTATTCACATCAATAAGCTGCTATATTTACATAGTTTATTATTCGTCACTTTATTCCATTGTGATTGCCAATAACCGGAATCAACAGCCTGTATATAATAAGAGCTATTAGTCTAAGATATACATTTGCCAAGTGATGGCGGAGACTTTTTTTATCTGATAGATAGAAATTTACCTGAAGATAGAAATGAAAAAAAGTAGGCAATTTAATATGACCTTTATACGGGAAACCCACGAAAAGTCGATCGCTTTTAATCAATGTTTCTAATGTCTTTTAGTTGTTTTATGAGCCTTTATGCCGCACAGCTGAAAGTTTGTGGGCTTATTCTCTAAATCTTTGTAGTACAAAAAAGCGTTAAGTCCACAAAATAAACGCCGGAAATCAATGTTAAGTATCGGCTGAAGTATACTGTATATGGTAACAAGAATCATCGAACACCAAAAGAACGCAGGCCTGCTGTACAGTGCATGTGGTCGACTTAAAGAGTGGATGGAGACATATCAGGAAGACGAATACGTTATTTTTATCTTTTCTGTGATAAGAGATTACATGTGACTGTAAGATGCCTTACGTCCTTCTTTGGGTTGTTTAGTTGCTATTGACACCAGCAGATAGAGTGACCTAATTAGGCATATTGATCAACGTTTGCATTTCATTCACAGGCTACTATGTGTTACTCTGATTTTCTTATACTATTCATCTCATCATTATCTGTAATTTTTTTTTAAATCACAGACCACAAGAAGTAATCGACGTACCTTTTTTGCAACAATAATGTGTCACTTTGCCGCCTCAGTTCTTTTTCGTGTTAGCAACCGTGCCCACTGCGGTAGTTATTACAACCCATTGGTGTTGTTATAGGCAATCAATGATCACCCTTGTCATGTGCATGGACTCCGGTGGGAGGTCGATAGTACGTTAATTTAGCCATATCCATATGTGTGTGTGTGTGTGTGTGTGTGTGTGTGTGAGAGAGAGAGAGAGAGAGGGAGAAAGGGCGGCATTCTTGAAAGAGAACTTTTTTCTTTTATGTTTGACATTTTGCCGTGCTTTTTAATCTTTTGAGACCGTAATGAGGGATTTTACAGAGTTTTCCCTCCTGGCTGTTCGCAGCTTTTTCTCTGTGTCCTTGGCCTGTACTCTCTTCTTTTTTTTTCTAAACAGGTCTGTTTTAAAATTGCCAATTTTGCATGTGAATAATAGCATGCTCACGTGATAAACTGAATTTTCTGAAGTGTTATGCATTAAAATAATTATAAAACACATTTTACAGTGCTGTCGAAATTTACGCCTGTCAGAAACAAGACACAGAAATAAACTGTTGTAAACTTTTTAAATATTAAAAATCTTCAAAATTGGAGGTTTTCAATGTGAAAGAACGCCACAATATCGATCTTGATGATGTCCCACCCCTTCTCCCCTCTTCTCGTGCTTGCCTTCTTAGTGTACTGATTATCATTATAGCAGTAGTTTGTAAATGTTTTGCATTACATTTTCGTATGCGTTAAGTAGTGTAGACTACATTTTCTATGCATTTAGCAGGGGCGGACCCAGAGTTATTTTCTGACAGTCTTCCAAATAATCTTTGTTGATTCACCCTTTAATTTTGACCGTCTTCCAACATGAAAAATTGGATACCCGTCAATGTAAACTTGAAAATCTGACCGTCTTCCGGAAGACCCAGAAGACGGCCTAAATCCGCCCCTGTTTAGGACTTACCTAGCCAGTTAAGTGTGGTGACTAAAGTGGCGACACCGGCGCATAATCTCCCCTGGGTGTGGTGAATGCGGTAGTTGGGATTGTATGCTACATTTGAATGGGTAGATTGTTGAATGCGACCTTCAAATTAAGTTTTTTACTGAATATTATCACTCATTTTGTATGTATGGATAGCTTATTAGGAGACAATTAGTGTTCTTCACAATACGTATGAATGACGTAACATTATAACATTACTTCACAAATGTGATTATAACATCTTACTGACATGAATGGGGAAAAATATAGGCCTACGTATGCTGGTCCTACGAAAAGGGCTTGTGACTGTTGGCCATAAATCTTTCATACTGCAAAATAAACTTTCAGATCTCTTCAAATCCCTTTAAATGAGTAAAAAGTTATCACAAATAACCATAAACCATTAATCTTGACTTACATTCTCTTTAAGAAACAACATCATTGATTTATTTTCCCTTAAAATTTATATATAAATCAGTTAATCAAAATTATAAGCCCAAGAGGGGAATATTAGTGTTTTTTTCAGAAACAGGAGGGTTGGGTCAGCCCCCCCCCCTCCCGACCCCCTCTAAATCCACCACTGATACAGAAAATTTTTGGTATTTTAGTCATATTCATATTTGTTTGGTCTTATTTTATGTTCATATTATGGATGTTGTAGTATGTTTTCCCTCCCCTATATATCCCGTTTAAATTACATGTAGATGCGACCAGTTCAGCAACAGGGTGTTATATAGGGCCTAATGTTCATTAACACAGGGGCGGATCCCTGAAAAATTTTGGTATTTTAAAGGGCAAACGGTGCCATTTAATTGTTACGGTTTAGTAGGCTACTAAAAACTGATTCCTGACGTCCACAGTGATACCCCGCCGGACCAAAAGGTCTAGAGTCTAGACTACCCAGCTTAGAGCTTTTTGTGAAAACGAGACTGCCGTTTTTCTACTTTTGCAGACATGCGCAGTGCGGTCGACTGTAGCCTACATAACTGAGTCATCGGGGAATATCATGTGGACGAGGAACACACCGGCAAATGTTACTCAAATTGACCAAACACATGAATGAAACATCACAGCTTCACTGAAGCCACCAAGGTAAGGGGTTTAAATGTAAGACTGCGCATATAACCTGACGTGTAAATAGTCATCAAATTGGTGATTAGCGATTTTCTCCCCATCGGCAACATTTAATTAGGTCGATATCGTATCTTGCAAAAATGTCAAGGAGGACCGAACACCCTAACACCGTTTTCTTCTGACTGTATGGCTCACTGTCATTAGATACATTAGGGTGGAATTTAAGGTATTTTCTGTAGCCGCTTGAGTCGAATGCCGATGCAGTGTGTGATAATTCTTGGCAATTTAAAACAAAAAAGACACGCCTTTAAGAAGGGTGGACGACGCCATTTTGTTTTTTCCCTGCCTTGTACATTTTTTTTCATGATAAGCCTGTGTTAAGTGCAAGATAACACGGAAACCGAGTAATCTATCCATATATAACTCTCATGTGTTTATTTATCTATGTTTACACACTGAATTTGAATGCTACAGTCTACAGTAAGTCTAGTTTTAAACTTTTTTAAAATAAGAATATTTTAATGTTCATCAGTCATACAGGAAACCTCACCCTTTCAGGTTAATCCCTTATAAATAAGAATCAGTTTACATATATGATTTAGATGTTTTCAGAAATGTTGTTGAAAATAGAAAGTAAACAGGACAAAAACATCCTGAAATGTTAGTTCTTGGATGAAGAGATTTTTGACCTTTTAATACTTACCTAGTACAGCATAAGTTGTCCACTGTTAGTGACATACAACAGCTTAATTGTATCAAAGCCCAGCCGAGATGAGAATACAGGCAAGCCTGTATGAGAAATAGAAGTATGTGCAATTATCTTATCGACAGTATTGTTTGAAGGGCCATCCGTGGTATAATTCAGTACACATATAAATGGATAAACCAAAAATAGATAGCAGACTATGACATAATTGTAAATCCACCACTTTTGCTGTATGTACCCTGTATCAGATTGAACAAACCCAGATCTATAGATAAATGAATCGGAATCAGCTGTAACTTTGTTACTTAACTTGCAATGCTGTTTATTCCAAAAATGTTAGGGAGAGGAGATTGATATGACTCACAACTAGTAGCTGTATGTAGATGACTGGGATTGTAAGAATGTGTAAAGAAAGAGTTGGTTTTAAAAGATGTTATAAGTTCTTAACTTAATATTTCTTTTTTAACACTGTTTTTCTATTTAACATCAAATTTCCCAGTTACGATAATTCGACTGTTTAATATTTCTTAGATAATTTTTAGTCTACGAGTAACTATACTGTTTAGGTATTAGGTATAACATAATGCAGTAAAGGAACAGCACTGTAAAGTGTCTGGTATCAATTTTTTTTAAATGTTTGGATAGTATTAACTGCCTTAGCTACACAAACCCCTGCTGGGCCTTGTTGTCACAACTCATAATAGTTTGTGCCAGAAGAATGATCATTTTTCTTGCTAGGTCGAATTACTTAGCTGACAAGTTGGAGTGACGAATAAGTGAAATTTAATTTATGTGTGGCTAATACTCTAGCCATACCGAAGTATCCTTGATAATGACTGAAAACTTCTAGCTTGAACCAAGACTCTGTAGACGTGTATAATAAGCCAGTCCCCCTATTTGATATGATCAATTCAATTAAAGTCTAGACAACCAGTGCATTAAGCAATTCACACCTGACATTAAAAAACATAAATAGATAACAGGACAGGTGAGTTGTGCATAACCAACGATCCCCATGTAGGAAGTGTAATACTGTGGGACAAAGTAACAGCAACATTCACATTCAACAAATGGGCTCAAGGACGGACACACACACACACGTACACACACACACACACACTAAGTATTTGCAATTCTGAGAACAATCTTTTGTTTATAAATTCCATTTTAATAGACTTACTAGCTTATGACAGAAGGTGAAATAATGTAGTCTTTTGATGTGTCTGAATAACTTGATTAATAAAAGTAAATAGGAAAATAAAGACTGAATACGCTCAGTCTTACAGAGATCAAATTTCAAATTTTTTTAAAGTCTGTGTCTGGAGTTGAGGTGCTTTATAATTTGTGTATCCTGAATGTATTTCTTTGTCCTCTTTAGTTACGTCAGGTGTGTAGAAGGTTCTGTACAAACAAACTTGCCATGAGGCAATGAAAAGAGGTCTGTGGATTTTATTCTTGCTGCCCACAATCCATGATACACTAATGTTCTACAGAGGGTAGCACTGAGCACCCACTGGGAGGTTATGGTTGTCAGTCATGCACAGGTTTCATAGGTTTCCATTGTCTGAAGCAGTTGATTGGTAGACATGATATGATTATTATCTATGCACAGTGGTATATATATGTGTGTGTGGTGGTTATGACAGACTGTGTTCACAGTTCTGATAATTAAGACTAGTTATTAAATCCCTGAAGTGTTTGATTGTATTTTAATTTAAAAATGTACAATTCCCATGAATAATTTAAGACATGCTTAAGAAAATTTTGCTGCTTAAGATTTTTCATTTTATTGAGATTTCTTGTTTATGTTGTAGGCAGTCTTAATATTGATAGAATACCAGTGCATTTACTTTGTCTTGAGAAGCATAACTTGAAGTTAAAAGTGACAATATATTTACAATAGTTCCTTCACAAATGGATCCTTGTTACTAGCAGTGGTGTTATAAAATCTCCTCTTCATCAGTCATATAGATACTGTGGCATACAAATTTAAATAAATAGAGAATTACCATACAGTTGATACATCAAGGGAACCTTAGTTTCTCTGGCACTGCAGCAGAGCTTTCATGTTGAAACTTTCATTGGTTGATATATTTCTGTTTTTGTGTTTTCCAGGGGGAAATAAAGAAAAGCATACGAAGTGCCAAGTTACTGGAGTTGTTTTCACTGTATGTCTATTGATTGGAAGACACCAGAGCATTAAGAGAGACTGAGGATATTATATTATACTGCCTGCCAATTCCTGTCACACAAACTGTAACACAGCGTTTGGAGCGAGATAAATACGTTGTAGACTACTGTGGTATTGAGGATGGCTTTTGTAGACAATCCAATCTCCAGGTCTAGACGTGATTGAAGATACTTACATTATAAGGGAAATATTATTGAAAATCTGCTTAGTTTGACAGTTATTATATTCATTGCATCACAGGACTCGAGGACAAATAAGATTTTCAATTCTTGAATACTCATCTGGACTTTTTCAGCCAAGGGCCAGTTTGAAGATTATTCCTCTCCAGCGAGCATAATCAGGAGACTTGTGTACATACGTCCATTTAATTGGTGAAGATATCTGAAACTTTTCACACACACAATGAATAGCAAAGTGAAGCACGCTATACTGGTTGTTATATTTACCATCCATTTTTTAGTCAGTCAAATGCTTGCAGGGGGCATTCGTGTCTTCCCTCCCCCGGGAGCTGGGATTGACCCTGTAGCAAAATATGGATATACAATGACAGTTATATTGTACACGATTAGGATCTTAGTGCTGGGTACTGTTCCACTTAGCATTTGTAATTTTTTGGGACTGTTATTTTGGAACGCTTTCCCAGACAAGCCAACATTGAAGAGCTCACCAATGCTCGCACCTTTTGTGTGCTTTCGCGTGGTGACGAGGGGATTGTTTCCAGACCTGGTAAAGAAAAATGTTGAGAGGAACCATAAAATTTGCAGTGAAGTTGGTCTTGAGAATTACATATTTGAAGTTGTCACAGATCGACAAATTGATATCCCGAAGCAGAATCATGTTCGTGAAATTCTTGTTCCTATGACTTATAAAACCAAAAAAGGGTCAATGTATAAAGCACGGGCCTTACAGTATTGTCTGGAAGACGGAGTGAACTATATAAGTGACGAAGACTGGATAGTACACTTGGACGAGGAAACTTTGTTGACCAGAGACTCCGTCATTGGAATCCTTAACTTTGTCAACGAGGGCACCCATCAGTTTGGTCAAGGAGTTATTACGTATGCGAATGAGGATATAGTTGCTTGGATACCCACCTTGGGAGATTTGGTTCGAGTTGGAATAGACTATGGACAAAATCGTTTCATGTTTAATTATTTTCACAGGCCATATGTAGGCCTGAAAGGTTCATATGTTGTGGTCAATGCGGGAGTGGAACGGAAAATTACCTTTGACTTTGGCCCAGAGGGCAGCATAGCAGAGGACTGCTTCTTTGCCATGAAGGGGATAGAGGACGGCTACTCCTTCGGTTGGATAGATGGAGACATGTGGGAAAAATCACCTTTCAGTTTCTATGACTGGCTAAAGCAGCGTTCTCGATGGGTGCAGGGAATTGTCAGAGTTTTTGTCAGTGGTCAGATTCCCAGGAGACAAAAGTGGGGACTACTTTTCATCATTGTGGGATGGGCCCTTTTTCCTCTTTCAACTGTGAACGGAATCTTCACCGCACTAACTCCTATCCCTACGCCCCAGTGGCTTGATTTTTTATTGGGGTTGAATTCAGTGTATATCTTTTTATATATATTTGGTAGTCTAAAATCATTTAGCTATGCCAGACTGGGATATTTCCGCTATATTTGCCTTCTACTGTCACCTTTGTTGTTAATACCTTTTTTTGTTATAATTGAAAATATAGCAGTCATAATGGCTGCAGTCACAAATCAAGGGAGTTTTCATATAGTTGAAAAAGATGTGTCAAAAAGTATGAAAAAGCCTGAAAATGTAAAAATATCAAACAATGTAAATGTTGTGTAGTGGATGAAATGTCTTATCTTTAAATTCAAGAATATGTTTCGATATTTTGTTTTGGTCTATGTTAACTGTGCATGCATTTTTTATGTCCCTGGTGTGTGAGGAAATGACTTGTGCATGTGATATTTTTTATTTTATCCCAACCCCTCTCATTGTAAGAGTTGATGAGAGATGTTAGCGAAAGGTAATGCTGAAAAGGTCTGTTCATTTGTTTGTGGATACACAATAGGACTTCAAGATTTACCTGACAAAATGTTCTGTGTTACCATGGAACCTGCATGTTATCTCTGTTTTGCAGGTTCTCCTGCTACGCTACAAGGGCTAATTTTTCTGCTGGTGTTGAAGCCATGGCTCCCATTCAAACGTAAAAATTTTTTTTGGAAAGATGTACAGCCTAGTGTAAAGACTCCATTGATTTGATGGCAATATATTGTCTCTCAAGCGAATTCCCAGGAGGGGGCTTGTAAGGGCACATGCAGAACCTGTTGATCCTCAGACTAACTAGTCCATGATCAAATGTGAGGCCCACTTGACAGTGGATTCTGCCTTCTATGAGTGCTGTTCAAGCAGGGGCAGAGCATTTAAAACTTGGCACACTTTCAAGTGCGTCGTGCCATATATGATCCGGTGACTAGTTAGTCTGTGGATCAACTGATTGTGAACACAGCCTTAGTTTGCACAGTGTTAACATAGCTTTTTAGTGGGGTCGGCCATATTTGGTCAGTGGATCAGTTAGTCTGCGATCATCTGTTCTGAACGCACTCTTAGAATGGTTCAAGTTAAAATAAGGCTGAAGGCAGATTTAAATATTCTGGTTATTTTAGTCTTTGTATCAGTTTGCATCAAACATTTGTAATGAACAAAAAGCATGCGTGCCACAGTTTTAATTGTGTTCTTATAAGATTTGATAGCCCAGCAGGTCAGTTTTTGAGAGATTTGTGATTGTGACCATCTCAGAAACCTTTGATTTCATGTGTCTGCAAGTGCTGATAAAGTGTGATGACTCGTTTTTTGGCTTTCTTTTCAGAATGCTCAGAATAATTAAATTAATGTTTATATTTAAATAATAAAAAGTACTAGTTAGGGTTTTGTGGATCAGGGATGTTATAGTTACCAAGTTCTAAAAACGAAAAATATTTAAATTTCAAAGTTCTTATTTGGGTGTTAGAAAGAATATATGTAAGATTTATAGAAATACTAACACATAACCCTAAGAAAAATGTTTTCTCAACAAAATTTTGGTTATAGTACAAGTATTTACCATTTTGTCATCAGTATTATCAATAAGCAGATAAAGGCTGGCGTTTTTCTAGTTTGTCTAAATAATGCAAGACAAATAACCAAGGTAACTGAATGCCATTATTGTTTTAGTTACACTTTGTAAACACCATCTACATAAAGTGTGAACAGTTTTAAAACAACTTATGGGACATTTGGGTCCAGGATATTACCAAAAAATAATAATCTTAATGTTTTTACCAAGTGGCCAAAAATATGCTCAAATTTACCTTGCACTGGGGTAATTTTTTTAATTAATTAATTAATTAATTAACTAATTTTTTATTTATTTTAAATCTTAACATCAACAGTAAATACATAGATCTAGACCAGCAGTGGTCCATGCTGTTGCTGTAGTTTACTTCCATTTGGGAGCAATGTGATAAGCGAACAAAACAATTCTCATGTTATAATGAAATGTACAGGTCACAACCAAAGGAATTTGTCTCTTGAATGAGAATGTTTTTCAATAGTGTACATTTTACATGTAGTGGTTAATTGTACAGTCCTGTTCGATTTATGTACTACTGTGAGTGTTGAATACTGGGGATCATTGCGTGTGACTGCGTGGATGTGGTTTAGAAACAACAAAGAGATTACCTCAGACTTCTGTTGCTATCATAGGCATTTTTTTTGTTCATAACTATAATATTATTAGACAAACCATTGGGTATGTATAAAATTTATTATACAATTTTGTTTTGTATTCAAGAAGTTGAAAGAAATAAAAGTATTATAAATGTTTTTGACAAGTACTTGGTATCTACACTGTGTCACAAATGTTCAAGAAAAATGATACATGCAAGATAATAGTAAATGCTTTGGCTGAAATTATGTGAAGCTTGGCTTACATAAATGGTAATTTTTTAATTTACCTCCACTCCCCAGAATACCTTGTTATTAGTTTGAGTAAAGTCTGCATAAATTTATGCAAGAACAGAATATACATCAAAAGTTGCATTTCCCCAAGTTAATTTTGTCTAAAGTTCTCTTTTTATTAAGGAGGAGGGGTACCTTCGAACTGACAGTAACACTCTGTGTGATGTTAAACTTTGGTTTTCCATGTTCAGTTAAGATTTTTACTCAGTAAGTGTACATAAAATGGATTTGAAGTTGGATCAAACACCCTAATACTTGACAATAATAAAAAAATGCAAAGATGCCTTCATTTTCAAGTCCTGCATATACATAATATGAGTGCAGTTCTCAGATGATGACAGAAAGATTTGTTCCTCAACAAAAGATGAAAGCCATTTCATATGCATAATGTTGTACTAAAAACCACAATCGTTATGGACCATCCAACTCCAAAGTTGAATAACAATAGGGATATGAAAAGGATTCCACCTTTAGCACTGTTCGTTATGCTCAAAGGCGAAATATTTTATGACAAATGGAAATTTAGCAGCCTTGCTACACTGTTAGATGGGCAGACTAATCTTGGGTCCAATTTCACAAAAACACTCAGTCAATTTAGTTGGTCCTTACTTCATAGGTGAGTGGCAAAATGACTGAAAATTTAGGCCCACACCATAGGATAAATCCATAGTGGTGTACACAACTAACAGAGCACATTTTTTGTGTAAGCCGTGTAATTTTCACCTTAGTTTACGCCAGGACAATATTCTCATAAAAGTGGATTACTTTTGTATTACTTTTTGATAAAAGTAAACAATTTTTTTTAACCTGATACTTAATTTTGACCAGTTCTCATTTGTTCAAGTTTTTTATTCTTCTTTTCTTTTCATTTTTTTTTTTTTTTTTTGTGACAGAGAATATAAGTGTAGTCTTAAAAATTCTATAATGAATACCCTGAGAACATTTTTTTTCTCTTTTTTTAAAATTCTATCCAAGCATATTCCTTTGAAGCCGAACTAAATTTAGTACATTATGGCACCTGTATAGCCTAACAATTATAACAAAGGGACAGGTACTCAGGTGGGGGTTCCATGTATCCAATGAGCATGCTAAGCAGCACATAACAGCCAAGGTATAATTGGGTTAAAGGTGTTCTCAGGGCACAGATCGAAATTATTACCTGGGCCTCTGGTTACCTGTTGAATGGGAAATTGGCTAACTTTTGAGTTCCAAAAAGGTGAATTTCTTTGAATTGTGCAGCTGAAGATGACAATATTTTATTTTCTTGTGTTATTTTATATGTCTGTTTGTCCGTCTGAGGGTAACACTTTGGCAGAGCTGGTGTACAGCTGGGTGACTATAGACTATGACTGGCCTAGTAATACCACCAGAGCAGCTGCATTGGCCAGTGAAGAATTCATACCAGAACACAATTCCATATCAGGAATCAAATTCTATAAAGGTAAAGATGGAACGAAGAGGAAGCTAGATTAGTGAGTTTGTTTGGACAAAAGCTTAAGTTGATTAAAATACGTCAAGAGTTAAAACTCTTCTTGAAAACAATACTATTATCTAGTCAATCATGTAACATTATACTCTTTCAAAATGTTTCATTAAAGATTTGAGAATTTAGTTTGAGCATTCAAGTTAATTTAATTACAGTTTGAAAACCCTATACACGTAGGAGGAATATTGTGGCACAGCCATATACTGATGTTTTTTGCCTGAAGCACTATTCATGCTAGCTCCAGTGAAGTGCCCTGTAGGCATATGATCATCACAAATAAAGCAACTGATATTAATGACTGTATTCAGAAAAGCAGACTTACTAGTCAGCAGGCCAAAGATGGCGACCAACTGAAAAGCTTGCCATCTAATTCGCTAATAGACACTGAATAGATGGGGAAGTATTCAAGTGGGTCGGCCATCTTTGATCCATGGACTAGTCAGTCTGCTGTGCTGCATGCAGCCAATTACTTAAACCCTTTGTGTGTGGACAGATTGAACTTATTGACTTTAACCTTACATTTCTTAAAACTATATTTTTTTAAAAACAATTAAGTTAAAACTCGGGACTGAAAATAGAAGACTTTTGCTGTAGATCTATTTGAAATTCATTGCTTCATAGTACATGACCTTTCTCGGAATAAGTCCCCTTTTTCATAATAAATCTATATTAATATTGTTTTACGTATCATTATTCATTTGTTATCCATTAGCCAGGGAGACAAAAATTTAATTTTACAATAATAATATATTCATTTACTCAACTAGGTGAAATTTATATCACTATCCCCCGTTGGAAGCTTGGAGTGCCTTCCTCACTGAACAAGGTGGGTCCCATTTAAAAGTACCTCAGCTTTTATAAACTTAATCAAATGCTATATAATTTAATTAAATGCTATATAATTATTATATCATGCACTCCAGTTTTATTTTCTGGCAATATATCTGGCCAGTAGATTCATGCTTAATATCATTTTTTATTAATCAAAATTAATATAAAATGACTGGAATTGTTTTAATGGAAAACAAGATTTTTTTTAATTGGCTGCCATCATATGAATATGTTACCATCATAAGTATTGAACGATACCTGGAATGAACTTGGGGGTGTGGTGGGGGGGGGGGTTTGGAAAACATGGACAAAGTCATGGGACCACATTTATAACTACTTTTTAAGGCAAAAACAAAATTTTGCAGTTGATGTTACTCTCTCTATGTCTAATCCATAACTGTTCAAACAACTTCAATGGATTTGAAGGTGTGTGTGTGTTGGGGGTGAAGGGTTAGAGGGTGAACCTGGACAAAGTCATGGAATCACATTTATAACAACTTGACCGTATAAGAAATCATTCAATGTACTTTTCCTCTTCCCACTTTTACTTCCTGTGCTAGCTGGTGACCATGGATGGCAGGTCAGTGTTTCAGCCCTACCCAAGCTGGGCTCAGAATGAGATCTACAACTGTTCAGCCCTCCAGTATGTCCAACAAATGGAGATAGACCCAGTCACTGGCTGGATGTGGATTATAGATACAGGGCGCATTAACACCATTCCACCTCCAGGTAACACTGGGAATTAATTCCTTATATTTATAATTCCTTTTTTAAAAGTCGGGAGTGAAGGTAGGGTGTCAGGGGTCCGCTTTATATGCATGTGCTGTTTGTTACTTTTTGGCTTGCTTGTTACTGTTTGGAAAAAACTATATATGAGACACATAGCATTGTAATTGTTATAAAGAATGCATGCTGTCTTTTAAAAATTCTAATATACTACAAGTTGAGTGGCATTATAATAACAGGCAAATAAAGTATATATATATATATATACTGCACCAGTAGTAATTTATTTTACTTTATGAAGACAATTTTAATTAAAAAGAAAAACAATTGTTTTTCTAGTAGACTTTGGAACTAGTGCCATATATGATATGTAAATGGATATATGGCGTGCATATACATATGTACTAATGTCACCACTTACTAATAGATAGTAAATGCGGGGGCGTCTCGATAGTCCAAAGGTTCATTGGTCTGAAGGTTCATTGGTCCGAAAAGTGGTAACATTTTCATCGATTTTTTAATCAAGGGTTCATTGGTCCGAAGGTTCTATAGTGAATATTCGGACCAATGAACCAATTGGGACTATTGAACCTTCGGACTATTGCTACAGCCCAGTAAATGCCCCTTTCCCGGCCCCCATAAAAGGTGTGCTCAATACATATTGTTATATTATTTTCTGTCTCTCTTAACTAGCAACTTGTTCTATATTTTTCTGCCTGTCTCTCTCTCCAGGTACCCAGGTTCAGAACATGTGTCCAGCCAAGCTGTGGATCTATGACATGAACAGGGACATCCTTGTCAGGCAATACGAGTTTCCAGAGAACATTGTCAGCAGGACTAATAACTTCCTCAATGATATTGTGGTTGATAAGTATGCACTGAAACATGTTCTTCTCATTGCAGTCATATTTTGAACACGTTTTTTTAGAACCTTTTCAGTTATTAACTCAACTTTCTTCATAAACATTTGCCTTTTTGCAGTCAAAAGATAAATTAGTAATAATGTACCATTTCCTATGTCAGTATATTTTAATCAAATATTTTTCACTATTGCATGTGTCACTATGTTTTAATCATATTTTTTTTAGCTGTGTTATATTAAAAATATATATGCTTATTATTGAAACATGTTGAAAATGCAGGTACCGATTACTATATGCCTTATTTCTGTATATTTTTTCATTCATTTCAGATCCGGTTTTGCTTACATCACTGACAGCGGTAATGACAGAAAAGGAGGCATCATCATCTACAATTACAACACCAATACAACCCATCGCATTAACCATGCATCCATGTGGGCAGTAGACAATGCTTCCGCAATTACAATAAATGGACAAGTTACAACACTCAAAATACCCACTAATGGCATAGCACTGTCTCCAGACTTCACCACTTTGTACTACTGCCCCCTGAGTGGCTACAATCTTTACTCTATAAGTACAGAGGAGGCTCGAGACCCACTGAAAGCCAGCACAGTCAATGTCCAGACCGTCGGAAGGAAAGTATCTCAAACTGATGGTATGGCCATGGGTAAAAACAGCCTGTACTACGGAGCACTTAGCCTGAATGCTGTCTATAAATGGGAGAGAAGCAAGGATGTTCTTGTGCAAGGCAACCCGGAGAACGTCACCTTAGCAACCCAGGTTAAAGTAGCCAGTGACAACCAAAGAATGCAGTGGGTCAATGCCATGGTGCTTACTGATGACGGATATCTCTGGTTCGTAGCAGCTGCAAGTCACAAATTCCTGACAAACAAGATGGACTTTTCAGGTGTGAATGGTACCAATTTTCATGTGTGGAGAATCCAGGTGAATGATACCTCCATACTGTCCCCTGTGACCTTGACCTCGACCTTGACCCCTGAGGTTCCCAGTACAACTCCTGTCACAAGTGTTGCAGGTTCCATACACACATCAATATGGTTCTTCATCAACCTGTGCCTGTCTTGGTACATACATGGGTTGGCAAGATAAAATGAGCATGACACCCATCTTGGTATGTACACAGCGTGACAAAATATTCAAAATATGGACTGCTTTTCATGAACCAAATACTCTTATATTGACACAATAACTTTTGTCACTCACAATGTCACAGTGATCATGCGAGGATCGATATCAGGTGCCATGATGACTTGGATAGGGAAGAGTACGTACTGAGAGACAGTAAATTAAATACATGCATGTCCATTTCTGTTACCAGTGAACAGGATTTATATATCCTAGCCATATTTCAGTCTTATCTAATAATATAACTGAAAAAGTGTGATATAATCATTGTGGTTTATTCTGAATTCTTTAAGTTTGCTGATCGACAGGTCACCTATGTACCATATGAGAGATGAAAAAAATCATATTGGACAATAGCGCACATATCATTTTTACAGTAATTTAAATTATATCAGTAATCTTGAAAAAAATATAATTCATGTGATAAAGATAAGTTTAATGTTTATTATCATATAAACACCGAAAGGGGTGAAGATACTACAGTCTTACTATAGAAATACCCTATGTTCTACTTAAAGTGAAAGGCAGTTAACAATTACTTGAAACCCAAAAAGCACCAAAAGAAAATGCCCCCTTAGATAGTCAAAATAAATCCATATCTCCATGAAAAAAATAAGACCACATAAAGCACAAGTATTTTAATGCAAACTTATTTGGCGTGTAACTTTCATCTGACTTGTAGTCTGCATATATACAGATATTCTGAATGGTCATCTTCCTGCGGAACTGTATATTGACCAAGTGAGGCTGGGGTCCATCTGACTGCCAGTATGTGTCCATGGATTCATCACGGAGCTGCTCAACTCCAAAACCTTGAGAGAAAGTACTGTACAACTGACTTCATGGTTGCATTTAATACAATAGGTTGAGGCATAGGTTATAAGGTTGATGTTTTTGTTTTCAACAATGTCATTTAGTTAGTGCTGACAGATGAACATCTGAAGTGAATTAAACATGCAATGTTCATTGTACCCCTTCTTCCCCTTCAAAACAAAATTGGAACTAGGCAATCTGATTATCAGTTACATTGAGTTAGACCTGTTTTAAAGCACTTTGATTCTGCATTTTTTGAAGTAAACAATTTTTTTTTTTTTTTTGACAATGAATATTAGTTCATGGATTTAAATTCTGCACTGAATACCTTGAAAACAATGTTAGCCCTGTTTATTAATTCTATCCATGCCTTTGCCCTTGAAGCCGAACAAAATTACACACTTAATGGTACCTGTATAGTTTAATCAATTATAATAAAAGGACAGGGAATTGGGTGAGGGGACCATGTAGCCAATGAGCATGCTACGCAGCACATAACAGTGAAGGCATATTGGGTTAAAGGTGTTCCCAGGGCAGAGACTGAAGTTATTACCTGGGCCTCTGTCTTACCTGTTGAATGGGGGCTTGGGTAACTTTGGAGTTCCAAAAAGGTGAATTTCTTTGAGTGTGCTGCTGAAGATGACACTGTTTTATTTTCTCGTGTTGTTTTATCTGTCTGTCTGTCCATCCAAGGGTAACACCTTGGCAGAGTTGGTGTACAGCTGGGTGACTATAGACTATGACTGGCCTAGTAATACCACCAGAGCAGCTGCATTGGCCAGTGAAGAATTCATACCAGAACACAATTCCATATCAGGAATCAAATTCTATAAAGGTAAAGATGGTCCAAGTGGGCAGCAAGACTGTAGTGAGTTTTTATTTGTTTGGAGTGAAGCTTAAATGAATTAAAATCTGTCAAGAGTTTTTTAAAACTCTTCTTCAAAACAATACAATTTTCCTGTCATGTAACATTATACTATTTCAAAATGTTTCATAAAGATTTGAAAATTTTGTTTGAGCATCCAAGTTACCATATAGATATTTTTTTACCTAAAGCACTATTCATGCTAGCTCCAAGTGCCCTGAAGGCATATGATCATCACAAATAAAGCAACTGATATAAATCACATAAAATCTTTGTGTGAGGACTGATTGAAAATGTTGACTTAAACCTTCAATTTCCTAGAACTATTTTGTTAAGAACAAATTAAAACTTAGCACTGAAAATAAGACTGGTTGTGGATTTATGTAAAACTGATTGAAAAATAATTTTTTGAATTTTACATTCCATGATATATTCATTTACTCAACTAGGTGAGATTTATATCACTATCCCCCGTTGGAAGCTTGGAGTGCCTTCCTCCCTGAACAAGGTGGGTCTCATTTACCAGTGTGTCCACTGTAATGAAATTAGGTGCTAATAATTATTACATCATGCACTCCAGTTTCTCATTTTTTGGCAATATATCTGGCCAGTAGATTCATGCTTAAATTTTTTTTTTATTAATTAGAATTAACATCAAATGACTAGAGTTTTTTTAATGGAAAACAAGGGATTTTTTGTTGTTGACTGGCGTCACATGAATCTGTTATCATCATGGTTGGAATGAACTTGTGGGTGGCGGGGGTAGCTGGTGGGGGGGGGGGTTGGCAAAAGTTATTTGGCGTTTTATTACTTTTTAAGGCAAAAACCAAAGTTTGCACTTGATGCCACGTACTCCATCATATGAATATACCATGATTGTTTAAACTGCAATGGATTTGAAGGTGTGTGTGTGTGTGTTTGAGGGGGAGGAGGAAGGGGGTGAACCTGGACAGAGACAAGGTATTACATTTAACTCCTTGACAATATAAAAAAAAAATTATCAATCAATGCACATTTCCTCTTCTTACTTCCTATGCTAGCTGGTGACCAGGGGTGGCAGGTCAGTGTTTCAGCCCTACCCAAGCTGGGCTCAGAATGAGATCTACAACTGTTCAGCCCTCCAGTATGTCCAGCAGGTGGAAATAGACCCCTGTCACTGGCTGGTTGTGGATTATAGATACAGGGCGCATTAACACCATTCCATCGCCAGGTAGAACTGGGAATTCGTTCCCTATTAATTGATTTTTAAGTTGGGGGACAAAATGGAAGTGTAAGGGATCCCCTTTTTACACATGAGCAGTTTGTAACTCTTTGGCATGCTTACAAGTTACTGCATGCAAAAAAAACAAAAAAAAAAAAACAAAAATTGTGAGGAAACCAGCACTGCAATTTTTTTAAGGATGAAGACATTGAAGACAAGGCATTAGCTATAGCTGGGTGTGAACTCCTAATATATACACCACAAAACTTCCTATTTAACCACACAACTCTATCCACTCGCCGCTGATAAGTCAATTTTAAATTTTAGTTGCAAAAATACATATCAGAGCTGTGCTCCTCAACTTGTTCTATATTTTTCTCTCTCTCTCCAGGTACCCAGGTGCAGAACATGTGTCCAGCCAAGCTGTGGATCTATGACATGAACAGGGACATCCTTGTCAGGCAATACGAGTTTCCAGAGAACATTGTCAGCAGGACTAATAACTTCCTCAATGATATTGTGGTTGATAAGTATGCACTGAAACATCCTAGCAAATGTTCTAAAATATCTTTTTCGAACCTTTTCATTTAAATTCAACTTTCTTCATTTCACTTAAACTTTACTTTAAAGTCACTGACAAACATTAAATTTGTATTACCATCTGCAACACAATTACCTATGTAAGTATGTTTTAATCAAATATTTTTTCACTGAGTAGTATCAAAATATATGTTTATTATGGAAACAAGTTGAAAATGCAGGTAACTGATTACTATATGCCTTATTTCTGTATATTTTTACATTCATTTCAGATCCGGTTTTGCTTACATCACTGACAGCGGTAATGACAGAAAAGGAGGCATCATTGTCTACAATTACAACACCAATACAACCCATCGCATTAACCATGAATCCATGTGGGCAGTAGACAACGCTTCCGCAATTACAATAAATGGACAAGTTACAACAGTCAAAATACCCACTAATGGCATAGCACTGTCTCCTGACTTCACCACTTTGTACTACTGCCCCCTGAGTGGCTACAATCTTTACTCTATAAGTACAGAGGAAGCTCAGGACCCACTGAAAGCCAGCACAGTCAATGTCCAGACCGTTGGAAGAAAAGTATCTCAAACTGATGGTATGGCCATGGGTAAGAAGAGCCTGTACTACGGAGCACTTAGCCTGAATGCTGTGTATAAATGGGAGAGAAGCAAGGATGTTCTTGAACAAGGCAACCCGAAGAAAGTCACCTTAGCAACCCAGGTTAAAGTAGCCAGTGACAACCAAAGAATGCAGTGGGTCAATGCCATGGCGCTAACTGACGACGGATATCTCTGGTTCATTACGGCTGCAAGTCATAAATTCCTGTTACACAAGATGGACTTTTCGGGTGTGAATGGTACCAATTTTCACGTGTGGAGAATCCAGGTGAACGATACCTCCATACTGTCCCATGTGGCCTTGACCCCTGAGGTTCCTAGTACAACTCCTGTCACGAGTGGTGCAGGTTCTATGCAAGCATCAACATGGTTCTACATCAAGCAGTGCCTGTCTTGGTACATACATGGGTTGGCATAATAAAATGGGTATGACACCCATCTTGGTATGTGTATGTGCACAGGATGACAAAATAATCAAAATATGGACTGTTATTCATGGACCAAATACTCTTTATATTGACACAATAAATTTTGTCACTCACAATGTTACAGTGATCATGTGACTTGGATATTGGGAGAGTACTGAGAGATAGTAAATTAAATATGTCCATTTTTGTTACCAGTGAACATGATTTGTATATCCTAGCCATATTTTAGTCTTATCTACTTAATGTTGGGTTTCAAAGTACAGTAACTCCTAAAATATAACTGTCTGTAAGATGTTAACATAAAATAAAATATATTTAATCTACTCTCTCGCAGTACTAATTTAGACATTGATGTTAAAGAATTGTACTACACAGTACAGAATCGATTTTAAAATGAAATGTTTTTCTGACCCCCTATTCTGTTATCCAAACTTCACCTGATAGTGTTAAACTGTGAACAGTCTATTGTTGTAAAATTGGGCATTTTTGCCATGGAGATGTCCTCCACAGGTGAATGTACTTTGATTTGCCTCATGTGGGTATCGCGTCCATTTTGATGATTCGATATTACAGCTATCTGTATCATAAAGGTCCTGATTGGTTTCTCATTGATGTCTTTTAAAGGAACATATACCCATCCTGTTGGCTCTGTCATCTCGACTTGTTCTATCTCACTGAGATCATTGAAGTGATTGCCCGCTCGTATGGACAGCCTGCAAATAAAATAAATATATAAAACATTAGTGAAGTAGTAACATGTAATGCCAACTTATAAACAACTTTACTGAAGAATAATAATAATATAACTGAAAAAGAGTGACAAAATCATTGTGGGTTATTCTGAATTCTTTAAGTTGCTGACAGGTTACCAATGAACCATGAGAGTTGAAAAAAATCATATTGGACAATAGAGCACAGGTCATTTATNTGTTACAAAAAAATAATAATCTTAATGTTTTTACCAAGTGGCCAAAAATATGCTCAAATTTACCTTGCACTGGGGTAATTTTTTTAAATTAATTAATTAATTAATTAACTAATTTTTTATTTATTTTAAATCTTAACATCAACAGTAAATACATAGATCTAGACCAGCAGTGGTCCATATTGTTGCTGTAGTTTAGTTCCATTTGGGAGCAATGTGATAAGCGAACAAAACAATTCTCATGTTAATGAAATGTACAGGTCACAACCAAAGGAATTTGTCTCTTGAATGAGAATGTTTTTCAATAGTGTACATTTTACATGTAGTGGTTAATTGTACAGTCCTGTTCGATTTTTGTACTACTGTGAGTGTCGAATACTGGGGATCATTGCGTGTGACTGCGTGGATGTGGTTTAGAAACAACAAAGAGATTACCTCAGACTTCTGTTGCTATCATAGGCATTTTTTTTGTTCATAACTATAATATTATTAGACAAACCATTGGGTATGTATAAAATTTATTATACAATTTTGTTTTGTATTCAAGAAGTTGAAAGAAATAAAAGTATTATAAATGTTTTTGACAAGTACTTGGTATCTTCTCTGTGTCACAAATGTTCAAGAAAAATGATACATACAAGATAATAGTAAATGCTTTGGCTGAAATTACGTGAAGCTTGGCTTACATAAATGTTACTTTTTTTATTTTACCTCCACTCCCCAGAATACCTTGTTATTAGTTTGAGTAAAGTCTGCATAAATTTATGCAACAACAGAATATACATCAAAAGTTGCATTTGCCAAGTTAATTTTGTCTAAAGTTCTCTTTTTATTAAGGAGGAGGGGTACCTTCGAACTGACAGTAACACTCTGTGTGATGTTAAACTTTGGTTTTCCATGTTCAGTTAAGTTTTTTACTCAGTAAGTGTACATAAAATGGATTTGAAGTTGGATCAAACACCCTAATACTTGACAAAAATAAAAAAAAAATGCAAATATGCCTTCATTTTCAAGTCCTGCATATACATAATACGAGTGCAGTTCTCAGATGATGACAGAAAGAGTTGTTCCTCAACAAAAGATGAAAGCCATTTCATATGCATAATGTTGTACTAAAAACCACAATCGTTATGGACCATCCAACTCCAAAGTTGAATAACAATAGGGATATGAAAAGGATTCCACCTTTAGCACTGTTCGTTATGCTCAAAGGCGAAATATTTTATGACAAATGGAAATTTAGCAGCCATGCTACACTGTTAGATGGGCAGACTAATCTTGAGTTCAATTTCACAAAAACACTCGGTCAATTTAGTTGGTCCTTCCTTCATAGGTGAGTGGCAAAATGACTGAAAATTTAGGCCCACACCATAGGATAAATCCATAGTGGTGTACACAACTAACAGAGCACATTTTTTGTGTAAGCTGTGTCATTTTTCACCTTGGTTTACGCCAGGACAATATTCTCATAAAAGTGGATTACTTTTGTATTACTTTTTGATAAAAGTAAACAATTTTTTTTAAACCTGATACTTAGTTTTGACCAGTCCTCATTTGTTCAAGTTTTTTATTCTTCTTTTCTTTTCATTTTTTTTTTTGTGACAGAGAATATAAGTGTAGTCTTAAAAATTCTATAATGAATACCCTGAGAACATTTTTTTTCTCTTTTTTTAAAATTCTATCCAAGCATATTCCTTTGAAGCCGAACTAAATTTAGTACATTATGGCACCTGTATAGCCTAACAATTATAACAAAGGGACAGGTACTCAGGTGGGGGTTCCATGTATCCAATGAGCATGCTAAGCAGCACATAACAGCGAAGGTATAATTGGGTTAAAGGTGTTCTCAGGGCACAGATCGAAATTATTACCTGGGCCTCTGGTTACCTGTTGAATGGGAAATTGGCTAACTTTTGAGTTCCAAAAAGGTGAATTTCTTTGAATTGTGCAGCCTAAGATGACAATATTTTATTTTCTTGTGTTATTTTATATGTCTGTTTGTCCGTCTGAGGGTAACACTTTGGCAGAGCTGGTGTACAGCTGGGTGACTATAGACTATGACTGGCCTAGTAATACCACCAGAGCAGCTGCATTGGCCAGTGAAGAATTCATACCAGAACACAATTCCATATCAGGAATCAAATTCTATAAAGGTAAAGATGGAACGAAGAGGAAGCTAGATTAGTGAGTTTGTTTGGACAAAAGCTTAAGTTGATTAAAATATGTCAAGAGTTAATTAAAACTCTTCTTGAAAACAATACTACTATCTAGTCAATCATGTAACATTATACTCTTTCAAAATGTTTCATTAAAGATTTGAGAATTTAGTTTGAGCATTCAAGTTAATTTAATTACAGTTTGAAAACCCCATACACATAGGAGGAATATTGTGGCACAGCCATATACTGATGTTTTTTGCCTGGAGCACTATTCATGCTAGCTCCAGTGAAGTGCCCTGTAGGCATATGATCATCACAAATAAAGCAACTGATATTAATGACTGTATTCAGAAAAGCGGACTTACTAGTCCGCAGGCCAAAGATGGCGACCAACTGAAAAGCTTGCCATCTAATTCGATAATAGACACTGAATAGATGGGGAAGTATTCAAGTGGGTCGGCCATCTTTGATCCATGGACTAGTCAGTCTGCTGTGCTGCATGCAGCCAATTACTTAAACCCTTTGTGTGTGGACAGATTGAACGTATTGACTTTAACCTTACATTTCTTAAAACTATATTTTGTTAAAAACAATGAAGTTAAAACTTGGGACTGAAAATAGAAGACTCTTGCTGTAGATCTCTTTGAAATTCATTAATTGCTTCATAGTACATGACCTTTCTCAGAAAAAGTCCCCTTTCAAGCCTGTAGCCAGCAAATTCAAAAGGGGGGTTCTTTTTCTGAAAAAGTGGACCTTTTACAATGAAACTTCTGTGTACCTAGATAAAATTTTACCCAAAATGGACCTTTTCCTAACAAAAGGGGCGGTTCTTTCTAACCCCCTGAACCCCCCTGGCTATGGGCCTGCCTTTTTCATAGTTAATCTATATTAATATTGTTTTACATATCATTATCCATTTGTTATCCATTAGCCAGGGAGATAAAAATAATTTTACACTCATAATATATTCATCTACTCAACTAGGTGAGATTTATATCACTATCCCCCGCTGGAAACTTGGAGTGCCTTCCTCCCTGAACAAGGTGAGTCGCATTTAAAAGTATGACAACTTTAATTAACTTTAATGTTTTATAATAATTATCACATCGTGCACTCCATTTTTTTTTTTATTTCTGGCAACATATCTGGCCAGTAGATTCATGCTTAAAATTTTTTTTTATTAATCGAAATTATAATATCAATTAAACGACTGGAGTTATTTTGATGAAAAACAGAGTTTTTTGTTATTGACTGCCATCATATGAATATATGTTACCATCATGTGTATTGAAACATATCTGGAATGAACTTGTGGATAGTGGGGGTGTGGGGGGGGGGGGGTAAAGGGGGGATCGGAAAACATGGGTAAAGTCATGGGACCATATTTATAACTATTTTTAAGGCAAAAATGAAATTTGACAGTTGATGTTACTCTCTCATATCTAAGATCTAATATACCGTATATTAGATCTTAGCTCATATGTATAGACCATGATTGTTTAAACAACCTGAATGGATTTGAAGGTGTGTCTGTGTGTGTGTGTGTGTGTGTGTTATGGTTGGGGG